AATTTAGCAATGAATGAGCATGATGACATACACGACATCTTACCCGTGGCATATTATTTACATTTCAAACTAGTCACCAAAAATAGGGCCTTGGTTAATTCCAGAATGGATGGTGGAGAAAAAAATTCCACAGACAGATGTTCATTTGAATACTCAGAATGCAACTTTTTTTTCAAACTTGCTGCCAGCGCTTGCCATGCACAATTTACGGTGCCTTTTTCAGTTACCCCACAGTTCAATGGAGATGTTTTAAAGCACCAGCTTAATTAAACTCTATTTTTCAATTTCCAGTAACCAGATAATTAGTACGATGGCACTACCAACAAATGTACGGGGCTAGTGATCTCTGCAGCTACACCCGACGTGTCACACACTCTGCTGCACCATGATTCAGCTAGCCCACGGTATACAGAGCAAACCAAATTTATCACACACAGGGGTGTTTATCACTAACTCCCTTGGAGCTGGGACCGTACTAATGTGTGCATCTGCAGCATCTGTGGCGTGAATTTCAAAGCAGGTGGGATGGAGAACAGAGCCTTCGAGAGCCATTTTAAAATGCCTCGATACACACAATTTGCCAACACGAGGCTTCTCTGGGTGGAGCATTCTTAATCATCAGCTACTGTCATTCGACTGCTGGATGAAGGCTTCCCCAAGCAGCCGCCATCCATCAAGATGCTGCCTCAAAAATCCATCTACTACCGACAGACGAAGTGATTTTATAGCTCCATCTCCACGGTGAACGTCCTCTCTGTAACTTTGCATTCAATAGCTGCCACCTTATAATCATTATTGACCATCTCCAGTCATTCCTTTCGGTGAATTGTCCTTTCCAAGGCCACTTGCTTCGACCAGTATGAATTCTCACAGCGAAATTAAAATAAAGTATATTAATTTTGCAGCCCTTTATAAATCCGGTGCTGGGTGAAGGCCGCTCTATGCCATGTCAGTCATAGGGGTTATTTGACAATGAAAGGGGATTCAGATATCGTTCCCCGCTGATATTAGCCTTGCCTGGGAATTGAACTCATGTAGCCGAGTTCATCGTGTAGTGCGATCACCGCTGTGCCACCACTCCCACTGCAGCATTAGCGTATCCCCTTAATGATGGCTCAACTAATAACGGAGCTGGTAAACGGGGTCGTCCTGCATATACAGTACATAACCTACTTATGTTCGCAGACCTCCCTCCTAGACATGGCGCAGCATTTGCCCATATCCCCCAGCACAAAACCCAACTGATACGAATCGATGCACACAGATAGCGCCATTGCGTGTTGTCGCTTCATAAGGCTCTGCCTAATGAGCAGAACCACATTCTATCAATTCATTATCTTTTAATCATTGGGAACCTAGATGGGTCCCATAATCTCCATTTGGGAATTGTTTTTTCACAGTTTGCTTTACAAGATAAATTATACTTGGAAATACGTTGGGGTATTATGGATATATATGGCACTCTGGATGATGATAATACATGATGATGATTGCTTGTGTTGCAGTCGAAATGTCGTGAGAATTTTATTGTTTTATATTTTTCTTATTTTATTGTTTTCCCTTTCACGTGACTTTACCGAAAGAACCAAGAATATGAATCCCTGCAGTCACGAAAGCTTTAATTCAAAATTTAACAGCTCTTTGTTAATCAAATGTTGGATGAATACCCTCTTCCTGCTGTGTCGGCCAGGGGTTGTTTAGTTTGGTTGTTACCCGTGGCCTGGAATCAAGCTCAGTTTGCCGCGCTCATAGAACAGTGCACAAACCACTGATCCTTTGCTCTATCTCAGCATGTGAGATGCGATATTGCATCTATTATTTCAATGGTTATTAAAAATACAGCACTACAGTGGAAGATCTGACGCTGGGTGAAATGAATTACAAAGGTGAATAGTTTAAAAGGCGAGAAAGTGTGAAAGGCAGGGTTAAGCGTTCAGGGTGAGAGGTCAGAAGTAGCATGGGACTGTGACAGCGAGGGACGTGTGCTCCCTTTTCACCAGAAAATGCCCTCCAATTTCCAATTTGGCCTTCATTATATCCCTTGAGGCTTGCCCCAAGCGCAACCGATATAGACAAAAGGCAGCAGGGCACACTGTCCATACATCACCTGACCCCTTTGTGCGAGATTTGTTAAAAAGCAAGTGGCTGCTGGTAGAACCAGTCTGTACGTGCTAATAATTTAGCAATTTTAATCCTCTTCTTCAAAAATTGATCTTTAGGCCAATTGGCAGGCTTTTCAAGGGTAATCCTTATCTTGTACAAGAGCTCCACGACCCATTGCCATTTATGTCTGTGCTCGATCGATGAGGCAACCCAAAGAGAACCTTTCTGAAACGTCGACCTTCAAGTGTCATTCACAACACTGGGGTGCGAACACACCCAGGGAGTGATTTTGTTAATTGTTTTTTCTTTCAGTGGTGAGATATCACAGCGGTGCCATAAGTTATTTCCGAACATTCGCACCTTTTATTAGTTAATTAATAAATACAAGCCCTCACACCAATTACACGGTGAAACCAAGTGGATATCTCTCCAAGGACTTTAATGTGCTACAGATTTGCCATCAATGTACCACAGACCAAGCTCATAAATCGACTTTTAAAATCATTTTTGGAGGATTATAAATGTACACACATTTTGCTTTTTGAAAAACAGTACGCTTTAAAATGGTTTGACAATCAGGAGCCTATCGCTGAAAATGTTAGGATTGGCAGGCATGAGTCAGTGTATAAATACAAAATGAACATGCTGTACATGCATTCATGCAAGGCATGAATAAGATACCACCAACTCCACCCCAGAGGTAGTGCTAATGAGAGGAAATGTTAACAAGAAAGACTCTGTATCACCAACTACTGCTCCTGCTGCCGCTGTAAATGACCATCATGACCTGCAGATGGGCCTCATGAGCAGGAAGGTTGTTGGTCGCTCTGCATAACACCATGCAGCTCTATGAAATGTCAAGGTTATTTTGTTTAACCGGGTGAGAAATCAGGAGACCAGAATATTCTCATTTGCAAGAGTGAACTGGATCGCCAATATGACACGTGCAGCAGACGTGCTGCCAATCACATCCGAGCTTTGCAATCACATAGTGCAAATGTGATTGCAATCTTCAGTTGTGCTAATCTGGGTCCAAGTCAATGAGCTGAGCTGAAGGAAAGCTCAACACTGTTATATTGTAATGCCAATAATGTTATTGGGGAAGAATATTTTAATAGTTATAAACAAATCAATATCTGACGCAAATTAACTCACCACCTTCATCATGAATACTCCCTGGTGATATAAACATGACAGAAATAGAGACTATAATTATTTGGGTAATGTCTGCTTTCTGCTCTGAAGAAATGCCATGACATACAACAGCGTGTTATATGTTTCTGTTATAAGACATTTCATTATGCTTCTTCACAACTAATCTGCCATATTTCTGCTCTGAAGGAGGTCCGCTTACCTAAATGTCAGCATATTTTACATATTCATATTGCCATTAATGACAATGAATAATTTTGTTTTGTTCTTCCACACCACTGCCAAAGCCAGCCCTTTTGTTTTCATCACCTGACTCAGCTGCCTAAATTATACTCAAAACAGCCCCTGTACCAATGGCATAGCATGGTTGACTTGGGCTCTTGGCGCAAGGAATGAAATGGGGGCCCCTTGTCCCATTACCCCCCTAATCATAATCCAGCACCTGGGCCCTTATGGCCTGAGCACACTGGTGCAGTTCCACCGTCTGCACGCAGATACGCCACTTTTGTGTTTAGTTTGTTGTCTTTGTTTTTATTTTGTTATCCCCCCCCCCATACCTCCAATTAGCAGAGTTGTCTACGTACGGTATGAAAGAAGTTCAACATACACACATACGCTGTCCTGCACACCACGCATTAAGCTGTCCTTAACTGTCTAATAACAAATGCTGTACTCCACTACTATCAGCTAGGAGTGCCCTTGACAGCAGACGAATTAGAAATACAATGCCTCTTGTGGAACTGCCCTTGATACGGAGGCTTCCAAAGCCTAATGAAATATTTAAAGAAGCATTGTTAATGAAGACTTGATATGCACATTGTAAGATGCGGACCGAGTAGTGGCTGCAACCTGTTGTGTCCCGTGAGTCACCATATGCCATGCCAGTGAAATGTTAATCCTTGTGGCAAATCCGCTGCAGAGATTTCCGAAATATATCCCACGGTGTCATATTGGACATTTATTGTTAAGAGTGGTGGTTCGTGAGTGAAATGACAGTGCAACAAACACCAGCGCCTGTGCAGCCAAAAAAATATTCCTATATGCGTCAAATTTAAATAGAACATTGGAGTTATGAGGACACATGCCTTCGACAAAACACTAGTGCCATATCCGCCTTTAAAGCTAATGCACCATCAATGCCCTTTGTGTCCAGCAACCAGGACCATAGTGTACCGGGTTCCAGCTACCTAAAGTCTTTATTAAAATTAGTCTTCTTGTCTCAGTGGGCTTTACATGGTTCCCAAAATCAACAATTGAATGAATACGCTGCACGTTTTCCACCGGCCTAGATTATACCTCCAGCTGAGCAGTGGCTTCCAGCTGAACAGTGGAATTTAAAACTGATGGAGGGCAATTAATTTCCCTCACTATAGCATCCAGTGTAAACCAATACTAATGTTCCTTTATTAACCCAAGAAATCCTCACTTTATTTATCCATGACACCCTTTCTTTAGTGTTTGGTACATTAGAATCTTTACTTATACTGGATAAATATGATGAGCTATAAAGCTCTTTTTAACAGACATCCAGTCGTTTTCGCAGATGTTCAGTAGTTTCACAGATGTCCACATGCCAAATGCTCAGATCATCCCACAGGCCTTACGGAAGTTGGAAAACGGCACTATCCACTTGGCATGTACATCCGTATGTTGAACTTCCTTTCATGCCGTACGTAGCGAACCGTGGGTTGCACGTGCGAGCAAAGCCCACATGCCAGTGAGGCCATCGCCCACTCCACACTCACCTGCTTGCCGTCAAGTGTGTAGAGTCGCTTGACCACTCCCGTATCCAGCTTGATAGCGTCCGTGATGTCCGTGAGCACCTGATCAAAGGAGTGTGCAGTCTTCTTGTTGAGCAGGATGCGTACGGCCTTGCGTGGCTTCACACCACTCCGGATCACGGTCACCAGCTTGGGCCGGATGAAATCACGTGACTCCGAGCCAGCTGTGTATTTGAGAATTATTGGGGTTTTTGTCATTGATTCACTTTGGCGAGATAAAAAATGCGCTACTTTGCATCTTAATCAAATTGTATTTTTAAAAGCGTGGTATTGAATACTCAAAAACTTATTAGTGTAACAAGTGTATGTTTTTTATGCAAAGATACATCGATTAAAAGCGAGTATTACATTCACAATAAATTCAATAAAAAGTATGTGTAAGAATGCATATATATTATATATTGCATGTAATTGGTTTAAGTGACTCTGCTGCCACTACAGATACTACAAGCACCAAAATGCCAACAAATAATCAATTTTTGAATCAACGCTCACCCCAAAATGTGATAAATAATGAGATGGGCAGTGCTGCCATGCCTTGTTTAAGTGTCAATAATTACAATTATTATCAAATCAGAAAAAAAATCTTCAAATTCATGGCTATTCTCATATTGTCATGAATACCATGTTTTCATGTACGGTAATGAGGGTTGCATATATTGCTTTGACAAGATTTTGTTTTATTGAATGACAATGTTATCATCTTTGCGAACATTGTTGTAATATTCTTCGTACAGAACATTTGGCCAACATTTATCGAACTCGGGTCGTCATGCCCCATCAGTGTGCAGGTTTCAGTTTTACAAGAACAGATGCGTGCAACATTTACTAAATATACATTTGACTGGTCATGGTGGAAAGATGTCCAATGCTATTGAGAAACTCAATTTGAGAAAAAAAAATCCAAGATATATTAACATTTTAAGTAGTCCATTAAAATGCAGATTATGATATTAAAAAGTGACAGTTTTACCAGAAATAACATTCAATGACAGCCCCAAAATACCAAATTACAGCTACCTCAAGAGAAAAAACACATACATGTCTCTACAGAATGTTCACTTGCTGCAAAGATGCTCAAACTAAGAACAATACTTACCAAAAAAATCAATCTGGGCATCAACTGGATCTGAAATAGCATTCAAACAAACAAAAAAGGTCTTCAAGGATTGCAACAAAATGCCAGCAAGCAGTCACGGAGGAGCATTAGTCTGCATGCCATGCAGCAGAGAAGCAGGTATGTTGTCCAAGGCTTGATAACCAGGTGCGTAGGAAGGATGAGGCAAAGGTAAACGCTCCCAATTTGGTGTCACACATGCTCAAACAAGGCTGGGAGGCCTACTCAGGGGGGGGGGGGGGATTTTTTCGTCCTTTTTGTATTCCAATTGTACTATCCGCATCATGTCATGAGACCAAGTGTCCATTGAAAACGATATCAGAGCAGTGCATCACCCTGCGTGTTAGAAAATGTCCCACAGAAGGCGATTTCATAGTCCTGTACTGCTTTTGAAAGTAACCATTGCTATCCACACACTAGGGGGCGTATTTTCCAACGTACTCATACGTTAAACGTTGTTGCACATGAGTAAAACTCATTTTATTAAATTCGAAAATGAAAATGATCCAAATTAAGTGAAAAACTACAAATAATGCCATGCATTTTTGTAGTCATTTGTGACCGGGACGAGAAAATCAACTCACTGCAGTTGCAAACTACTTTAAATCATGGGGTGGCTGAAACTAAGATGCGAAGCTAGGCTTGCAGCCATGCTGACTCAGTGCTTCCACCCTTGAGCCATCCAGCCACCTCAGGGACCAACATTGCGAAATGTTACAGGCAAGGATAGTTAAGCAGAGAGAGAAGTGCAACCTCTACTAATGGCCTCTCCTTACCATTTGTGGCTGTCCACTGCAATTAAGATTATGACATTAAAAAGTGACACATTTTTTACCAGAAATAACATTGAATTCCAGCCCTAAGAAACCACAAGCCAGCCACCTGTTATGTGTATTATGAGCAGCTGACTTACTGGAGACACCTGCCACAGCTTGCCGGCTGGAGCCCGCCGCACTCTGTGCCTTCCCACCCGAGGACTTGATGTTCACCGACCAATTAGGATTTAGCGTCTTGGTGTAATCCAGCCGGCGGTACGGCTCATTGGAGGCACACACGTAGCTCTCGCCTGCCGAGTGTGAATCACACACCACACACAGATATGCTCCACAATATTATCCAATGTTCCACAATTTGACAGAAGGATACACGACGTTCCGCAATATGATCTAACATTCCACAATATGACAATGTTCCACAATGACAGGCTGTTCCATATCTCACAAAATTCCAAGATATTGAGGTGGTATATGAATCTGCCCCATAGGTGTCATCATCATCGAATGCTAAATATTGCTTATATTTCATTTCAAAGGGGAGTTTTCTTTGAAAGTGTAAAATCTTGCGGGAATTATAATCACGTTATTAAGTGTGCATTACTGGTCCTTGCTATGGAATCACAAGTATTACTGTATGTTATTTGGCATTGTAGATACTTATTACATATATGCAAGTAAATGTCACCAGCTTTGAGAGCCCCAAAGCGAATAGCATTCAAAGGAGAGAATGCGGCATGAAATGTTCCAAAATCCTTGCCAAAAATACATGAAACCTGTCACCACCCACGCCAGCATTTGAAGTGCTTGTGAACGGTGGTGACAGTTTTGTTAAGTAGTGATGATAACATTGCTAAATCGTGGGAACTGAACTATAATTTCCCCACAATACCAACAAAAAATTGGGATGTTTTAATAATTTGTAGTTGTACCACATCAATTTGCAAAAGGTTACTTGATGGCCTTCCTCGGGATTGGAAGCAACCCAAGGGCAGGCCGAGGCTGACCTGGAGGCGCATGATGCAGGCAGATTTTAGACATCATAATATCAGCCTGCATTCATCATGGCGTGAGGGTTTCCTGGCAATTAATTACGAGGACCACTACACTCTGCCTGGGACCTGAGACTGATTAAAATCATAACAATTAGCTTGAAAAGCCTCACTCAATATCAAAATGCATTTTGTAGGACGGTCCTGCATTGTGATGTTTGGCCAGTAACATTTATGTGCATTTGGCATGTGCAAGGAAAATCAAGGAACCTGGAGGACACTCAAGCATGTTAGGGGGTGACATGCAGCGCTGCCATCTCATTGACATTGTGCAGCCCCACAACTCCAACACCTAGAAAGCCATAGTGTATTGAATCAAGCTTAGCTCAGTTTATCTTCCAAGATCCACCGAAATTTTATGTGTTCAAGATGATTTGGATATAGGCGAATAATTTATCTACGATTATAGATGTATTCACCCACGTTATTGCGGTCCACTGTTACTGACAGTTTCTAGTTGTCTCGAAGACTGCATTTAGAGTATTGCCACCATGCAGTCGTGGTATGTGATTGATGCTTTTTCAAGAGATCAATGTGTTATACATACAATATATTCAGTACCTAAAATATACCGATATACATGTATATGTGAAGGTGGTGCTTACTACAGATGCACAAGTTTGTGGTTACAAAATTTCAGTATATTTTAAAACAGGGTGCTAAATTCCTTCATCGAAGTGGCTGTTAAAGACACTAACATTATATAACATGTGCTGCTAGGGAAAACCAAATTTGACAACAGACAAAACCATAGTACAGATAATAATATCAGTTCAATCCTTGTATATTTGTTGTACAAAACACCCTCATTTCGATCTACAAATATCCCTACCATATCCCAATAATTGGATGTACATATGACGAAAGTTGTAATTAACAAATCACACAATCCTCAAAAGGAGCCACTCAAACCCAACTCAGAATCAGCAATGACGCTGGATGAATGCCTCCCCATCTTCCACGGTTCCCCCGAAACAATTTCCCCAGCACCTTCACACGCACCGCTGTCGTTCCTCGACACGTTCATCAACATGGCCTACGTGCGTACACACAATTTTTGAACTCTTGAAAACAAACGCCGGTGGCATATCGCGGAAGGGGTTTCGCGCCTTTTTTGCAGAGTGTCAGTCGGCGGAGCTTTACCTTCCACCAGCTCGTCCAGCGTGAGCATGCGGCGGCTGCCGTCGCACGTGTAGATGGCGCGCACGCCCTGCGGCAGGTTCACATTGTCCGTGAGCGTGCGCGTCAGGTCCTCGAGCAGCGCGTCGAACGAGCGGAAGCGGTCCGGCGACACGGCGTAGACGATGCCGCGGAAGTAACGGTCGCCGTTGCGGTAGAAGCGCACCTTCTTGGCCCTCTTCTCGGTGCTGAGTGCGCGCAGCGTGCGCGTGCGGTAGAAGCTGCAGTGCGCGCTGTGCGCGGGGCTTGGCAGGCCGTTGAGGCCGCGCGAGGAGCCGCGGGAGTTGCGGCGGCGGCGGCCCTTGTCGCGCTCGGCGAAGTGCTCGAACTCGAGGTCGCGGTCGTACGCGTGGGACATGGTTCCCTCTCGTTCTCCCTCTCGCTTGTTTTTGGTGCTCGCCGGGCCCAAGCAGCCGGCTTACCCCCCCCCCTTCCTTTTACTTACGTCTTCTTTTTCCTCCTTACGTTCTCTCCTACGAGAGAGAGACGACGTTGAAGCGTTCGCCTACAAGACACACACACACGCGCGCGCGCACACACCTGCGTTGCAGGCAATGTGGGAATTCGAACGCTGTGTAATCAGTGGATCAATTATTATCATTGGCAATGGGATGTTTTGAAAAAGTTAAATGACCCCCCCCCAAAAAAAAATACCGTTGAGATGGAGGGCATCAACAATGCACAGAGTACAGGAAACGCTACACGATGTTCCGGATAGTAACGTGCAAATGTTGCAGAATCACTAAAGAGCACAACACTGCTCAGCCAAATCACTACGTTAATTGTATTATGTATGATTTTTTTTTAATAAAGAACCGTTCATTATAATATAGCTCACTGACGTGACACAAAAATGGACGGCATGTCAATAATTGATTTCATTGGAATTAACGTATTGTATTAAAAATAAAGCACCATGTGAGAAGAAATGTTAAATGAATTCTAACAACCCATGTACATAACAAAATGAAGACAAAATATATGCTGTCGTATAAGTGTGTATTCAATTATTATTTATAGCTGGCTTTATATTTTCACGGACACCTCCATGCTTAATGACCACCAAGGAGACGGGAGCAACGAAATTATCTCAAACGCGGATCCCGTATGGATCGTTGAATCATAAAACGATACCATATGAATACTGTATAGTGTTCAACGTGACATACGCCAAATATTTTACATGGGGGGAAAAAAACATTTACTCTGCATGGGTTCTCCGTTAAATGAAACGCCACGATGTCTCCAGTTAAACACACAATAATAATATATAGCACGGTATGTAATAGGGCATACACAACAATTGGATGATTGACGAGGGCATGGTGACATGCACACTCACCTAGCTGTGCACGGCGACGCAGGAGGGAGGACGCGATCGTCTCAGCTGCGAAGTCTTCGCCCCTTCTGCTCCCTGCAAGACACGCACGAGTACATGGAGAGCACTCACGCACCCCGTTCTCTAGTCTCTCTCGTCTCTCTGTTCTCTTCCCTACGTCTCCTCCCTCCTCTCTCTCTCTGCCTTTCCTTCAACCACACGCCACACAATGGCTATGATGTGTGTGTGAGAGAGAGAGAGACGGGGGGGTGGGTGGGGACGCGAGCGTACAACACAAACCTTCGTGGGGGACGACGAGGAGGAGGGTGATGATGATGAAGACGACGAGGAGGAGGGTGATGATGATGAAGATGAAGACGACGAAAGGAGGGGAATGCAATTCTAGCCGCGCTTCAACAACATCCACCAGTAATCACCATTAAACCAGGCGTGCATACGTACACACAGCATGCAACGTCGAGTGATTGTACACTGCGCGTCTGTGTAGATGATGGCTATTGGTGATAGAGCAATAGAAAATAAGCGGCAAGGTCGCGATGGATTTTGTTGTTGTTGCTTAAAGAAAGAAACGCAAAAAAATTGACGCAGAGCGCGGTGCAGGCGGCTGCTGCTTCTGATGATGCTGCTGCTGATGATGCTGCTTCTGATGAAGATGCTGCTGCTGATGATGATGATGCGGCTGCTGCTGCTTCTGATGCTGCTGCTTCTGATGCTGCTGCTGCTTCTGATGATGATGCTGCTGCTTCTGATGATGCTGCTGCTGCTTCTGATGCTGCTGCTGCTGCTTCTGATGATGCTGCTGCTGCAGATGTGGATGAGATGCTGAGCGGCAGGGTCTATGGATGGGGGTTATGTGGTTCGTGTCTGGGCGCGGCTCCCCTGATATCCACGTGTCCTCTGCACAATCTGCAGGTCGGTGTGGTGCCCGCTTCTTGCCTCGCACCACTAAAGATCATCACTAAGCACCAAGTTCATGCCCATTCGTGTTGCGGAAATGGCACGTGCACACGTGCTAACTGTGAGCTGTGTTTGCAGCACTGTACAGTATATATACACACACGTGGGGGTTCTACGTAGCACCCCCTGAATAGGCAAGTGCAGAGAAATCCATCGTTGTACTGAACGTCTATTCATCCCTCAACGTGTATGCTCCGCACCTTCGGGCACCAGCAAGGTGAAGTATGGTCTAATGACTTATATGAGCCATACACGGCGTGGCGATCGTCCAGCAGTGGATTAATTTATCATACTGCAGTATTTCTAGATTTGAAGCTTTCGTGACTGCAGGAATGCATACTCTTTGGTTTTTTCGGTAAAGTCACGTGGGTATAAATAATGTAGTATACTCTTTGGTTACGTGGCTTTACCGAACCAGACTACAGTCTACATTATAGACTGTCAGTACACTCACTGAGCTTAATAACCAGACTAGAGTCTACATTATAGACTGTCAGTACACTCACTGAGCTTAATAACCAGGCTACAGTCTACATTATAGACTGTCAATACACTCACTGAGCTTAATAACCAGGCTACAGTCTACATTATAGACTGTCAGTACACTCACTGAGCTTAGTAACCAGGCTACAGTCTACATTATAGACTGCCAGTACACTCACTCAGCTTAATAACCAGACTAGTCTACATTATAGACTGTCAGTACACTCACCCAGCTTAATAACCAGGCTACAGTCTACATTATAGACTGTCAGTACACTCACTGAGCTTAATAACCAGACTACAGTCTACATTATAGACTGTCAGTACACTCACCCAGCTTAATAACCAGGATTACAGTCTACATTATAGACTGTCAGTACACTCACTCAGCTTAATAACCAGACTACAGTCTACATTATAGACTGTCAGTACACTCACTGAGCTTAATAACCAGACTACAGTCTACATTATAGATTGCCAGTACACTCACTGAGCTTAATAACCAGACTACAGTCTACATTATAGACTGTCAGTACACTCACTGAGCTTAATAACCAGGCTACAGTCTACATTATAGACTGCCTGTACACTCAGCTTAATAATCAGGCTACAGTCTACATTATAGACTGCCAGTACACTCACCCAGGTTAATAACCAGGCTACAGTCTACATTATAGACTGTCAGTACACTCACCCAGCTTAATAACCAGGCTACAGTCTACATTATAGACTGTCAGTACACTCACTGAGCTAAATCACCAGGCTACAGTCTACATTATAGACTGTCAGTACACTCACCCAGCTTAATAACCAGACTACAGTCTACATTATAGACTGTCAGTACACTCACTGAGCTTAATAACCAGGCTACAGTCTACATTATAGACTGTCAGTACACTCAGCTTAATAACCAGGCTACAGTCTACATTATAGACTGTCAGTACACTCACTCAGCTTAATAACCAGGCTACAGTCTACATTATAGACTGCCAGTACACTCACTCAGATTAATAACCAGGCTACAGTCTACATTATAGACTGCCAGTACACTCACCCAGCTTAATAACCAGGCTACAGTCTACATTATAGACTGCCAGTACACTCACTCAGCTTAATAACCAGGCTACAGTCTACATTATAGACTGTCAGTACACTCACCCAGCTTAATAGCCAGGCTACAGTCTACATTATAGACTGCCAGTACACTCACTCAGATTAATAACCAGGCTACAGTCTACATTATAGACTGTCAGTACAATCACCCAGCTTAAGAACCAGACTACAGTCTACATTATAGATTGCCAGTACACTCACTGAGCTTAATAACCAGACTACAGTCTACATTATAGACTGTCAGTACACTCACTGAGCTTAATAACCAGGCTACAGTCTACATTATAGACTGCCTGTACACTCAGCTTAATAATCAGGCTACAGTCTACATTATAGACTGCCAGTACACTCACCCAGGTTAATAACCAGGCTACAGTCTACATTATAGACTGTCAGTACACTCACCCAGCTTAATAACCAGGCTACAGTCTACATTATAGACTGTCAGTACACTCACTGAGCTAAATCACCAGGCTACAGTCTACATTATAGACTGTCAGTACAATCACCCAGCTTAAGAACCAGACTACAGTCTACATTATAGACTACCAGTACACTCACCAAACTTAATAACCAGGCTACAGTCTACATTATAGACTGCCAGTACACTCACTCAGCTTAATAACCAGGCTACAGTCTACATTATAGACTGCCAGTACACTCACTCAGCTTAATAACCAGACTACAGTCTACATTATAGACTGCCAGTACACTGACTCCGATTAATAACCAGGCTACAGTCTACATTATAGACTGCCAGTACACTCACTCAGATTAATAACCAGGCTACAGTCTACATTATAGACTGCCAGTACACTCACTCAGATGAACAAACAGGCTACAGTCTACATTAGTGGTTTTTTGGTTATTTATTCTTTTTATTCTTTATTTTTTCACTTTTCTATCTACGTGACTTTACCGAAAGAACCAAATATTTTCTAGTTATGTAGTTGCACAAACACAAGCGCGCGCACACACACATTTTCCCAAGAAATCCTGAGGCTCTTGATTTTTTCCAGCAGTGTGCTGCATTGATTGAGACGTTTGGATCATTTTATTAACGGGGGGAGCGACAAATGGAAACAAACTGGGGTGAGAACCGGAGAAAATCCACGCTACCGCAAATGGATTCAAGAATCCAAGTCCATAGCCATGGAGTCAACATTGGGGGGGGGGACCAAATATTCCAGGGGGTCACCCCCCCCCCACCCAGAGAAAAAAAATCTAAATTTGAAAACGAATTTTCTGCCTAAAATATTAAAAAAAATTAACCAACAAATGGGATGGACTTTTTGTTTATTTTTTTTACAATAATGTCTAATAGTGTATTGCTGTTTTTTGCTGTTTTTTTTCTTGTTTCATTATATGTAATGGCAGAGATTAGGGATTAATAAAGTACAACCATAACCACAATCATATAAACAGAAATCTATGCATTGTTGTTTTTAATCTACATAGCATAAAAATGATTATTTTAAAATATTTTTGATAGCAATATATTGGGGGGGGGGGGGGGGATATGTCCCCCCCCCCCCAATAATATATTATAATTACAGCCTTGCAAGAATCCATCCACGGCAGAGCCACATCTCCTGACCACATTTCAAGCCCAAGTTCCACAACAGCACCGGGTAGGTCCTCCCCGGTCCCCAGGCGCAGCTCTAACCCGGCTCACCCAGTCCGCGTGGCTTCCCCACTTTTTGTTGACCGGGCCGAATTTCAAGGCAACGTGGCTCAGCGAAAGGCTTGCATGCGATTCGAGATAAACGGGACTGAAGACAATACGCGAATGTCTACAAGTACCCTACTAAACAACAGCCACCATTCATCAATACGACGGCGACGAAAACCGCAGCGCTTGTGCCAGCCTAGGTGCACATTGGGGGCGTGTAAACTGTCAAGCAGGAGGCTGTGTAATACCCAGGTGTTATGGGGTTAACTTGTGTGGAGTACAGTGGTCATCAGTGGCTGTGTGAGTGAGCCCGTGGGTGTGCTCTGGTGTGCGGTGCCAGCTGTGCCGGGCAGGGGGGGGCAGGGGGCCAGGGGCCGGCAGCGCTCACGCAGCTGCGGCGTGGGCAGCGATGCGGGTCCCGTGGGGCAGCGGCCCCCTCTCGCTCTGCGCCACGTCTCATTGTCTCTTGATTGCCCGCTATCTCTCCTCTATCGAACGTCCCCCTTCTCTCATGCCGCTTTCCCCGTCTCTCTCCTCCGTCCTCCATCCTCTCTGGGTACCCCCTCCCTCCGCTGTCCTCTTTTCTCTTCCCCGTCTTGCCGCGATCTCTCCTTAATCCCTCTGCGCTCCGCATCCTCCTCACTCGCTGTCCCCGTTCCCCTGACTCACCATCTCTCTCCGCCTTCCCGTCCCATTCTCTCTCCCTGTTCCAGAATCTCATATTCTCTTTGTCTCCCCTATGCGCTTTCCTCACCACCCACCCACCCCCACCGGTCTCTCTTCTGTTTTACCGTCCCCCCTCTCCTCTTCTCGGTCCGAATGTTCACTCCTCATCCCTGCTGCTTTCCGCCAGCCCCTCTCACTCTTGCATCCCATCTCATTGCTTCCTCTCGTCGTCTCTCCTCTCTCCGATCTCCCAGTCCACTACGCGACATCATGGCTTCGATTGCACATCAAGTGTATTACTCGACTGCAATACATCACCAGTATTGTAAATTGTCATGGTTTAAAAAAGAACCCCCCCCCCCCATTAACATTGCTTTTATAGAAACAACACTACGTATGCGACCCACTGCGTTCCAAATACACTTTATGCAAGTATTTTAAAATAACCAAATGGATGGAACGAGATAGTGAATGTGCAGCATTCTATCGTCCACTGTGTGACAACGGGACATTGCACAAAACGTCGATCACGTTTGTTTCTGTGATAGGAAAACAACGCAAACCAGAAGGCATTTTCTGTTATAACTCAGCCACTTGCTTCCCATCCCCACACCCATTGTCACTGATATAAAGGGCCTTGAGATTTTGCGAAAGGCGATATATAATCTGTAATTATTTTTCCTTAAAAAAAGATAATTGCCTAAACATCGCAATCCAGGATCCGTCCTGAAATCCTGTCGCGTGTTGCGACCCATCTCGGCGTTTTAGAATAAATAAAACAAAAATGCATTACTCACCGTTGTCATTATTACGGGGGAGGGGGGGGGGTCTAAACAACCGTGGTTATCGCAATACGTTCACCTAACAGTGGCTAGAGAATAGCTGTATGAATAAATCTTAATTTAAGAGGATGAATGAATGAATGGATGACGTCAATACAGTATAAGGCACGTGCGCGTCGCCTGCCGTCACGTGCCCGCGTCTGGACCAATGGAGAGCGGCCGCCCGGGCACCGGTCGCACGAAATCGCCATGGCAACGGGCGCGCTGAGCCTCCCGTTATGAGCGGCTCGCGTTTAAACGCCAACAATAACAAATAACAACAAACAATACTTAATAATGACTACAATAGCAACATAAAGCTTGGTTTTCGTGCGGTTCGCCTTGACGCAGCAGCCGCGGACGGACCGCGAGCTGCAACCTCGCCTTGTTTGAAACTGTAGGCCTAGGCTCGCCTGACCCTGTGACTGTTCCTAGAGTTTATCGTTTAGAGTTTGTGTTTGTTGATATTGCGACATTTAATTGTTGACTTCGTTTATAAAGACTCCAAGCGTAAAGATGATGGAACTTAATCTCAGCCGCGTGGACTACCTGCAAGTGAGTGTTCGGTTACACTGAACATCTTCATTGGTTTCAACATCATAACCATCATCAGTGATTACATTTAAAAACAATAGTTACAGATTACAATGAATTATAATTGTAATAATACTTCACTGTCATTCAATTAAGAGTTATTCTTCATACGCATCGTCGTCAGTCGCAAACGTAAATCACCTAACATTTTTTTATAAATCATCAGTCATCTGTTTTGAATAACCATCAGCATAATGAATCAGAACCATCAGCATTGAGACAAATCAATCTTGCAAGGGAGACCTTTCACTATTTAACTGCTGTACATGCTCGTAAATTTGCATTAAGTGTATCCTTTAGATCAGTGGTGGGAATATATAAAGTTGCCCATAACAAGAATGTAATAACAGGTAATTTAAGCCGAGTAAAATGAACAACACAATCGTAAGAACACACATTAAAGGAAGCAATGTTTACACTAAACATACAGTATATAGATACAGTAAACATGAAACACATCCGTACACCTTGGTTCTTTCGGTAAAGTCACGTAGAATGAGAATAAAACAATAAAACTAAATAAGACAATAAAATTCTCACGACGTTTCGGCCACAACACAAGTAGCCTTCTTCAGGTGAATTGTAAACCAGGAACGTCTTTGTACTATAAATAAATGGACACAACATTGATGTCCATTATTTAACTGTTCTTCGCTGCACAGGTGACTTCTGCAAAAAGTGTGTTTTTCTCTCAACAAGCTTTCACCTGATTAAAGGGAATATTTTCCACACACGGTGTTATTTTATGAACAATCATTGCCATTCCATGCGTATTTAATTAACACTGTGATATAGTACCATGTGGGAGCCTACTGATATACATTCTCAGTGAGGATAAAGCCTTTGAAGACACTGTAATAAAACAATAATTTATTCTTTTGGAAATTTGGGCCAGACATCAATCACCCTATGTAAGTTTGGTATTTTGGTAGACATTTAAAATACGGCATAAACTACGCACCATATGGCAAGGTTGATTTATTTATAAGTCTTTGCACGAATGCCTTACAGTAAGTAATCTGTATTCGATGTTAAGCAGTAAGCTGCCTGTTTATTGCTGGAGATCTGGCCATGTCTTCTTAGGGTGGAGGCAGTGTGAGCTGGTATAAGTTAAGGATTTTAGAGCTTATAATTACCGTAGATACAACAGTAGCCACTCTAACCCCAAGATGATGTTGTTGCCATGTGCTGCCTACATTATGTCGGTACCCCGGGGTACCAAACAATACTAAATGCCCTAGGCAATAAAATATGTTATTTTATGGGACACTATTTTTTTCTCCAGGGTGTGTACTTAACTCCGCGACTGGGTTACCAATCAATCCGAAATCAGTGCCTTAATCCGAAATCAGTGCCACAATCCGCGATGTCGAAACGCAGCGAGGACGATAGCGCCGAAATCCCGAACGCTTGTACGCACCGTGGTGATGCATCGTGTACAGCTCGTCGAGATGAGTCGATTGCCGACCATCAACACACTAAAAAATGACTGCATCACGGACATTGTGCGAGAGCCGGGATACTATGGTGACCCCGGGGTACCGCCACATTCGTTACCTACTCAAGTTGCACGTCCAAGGTTTCACATTTAAAAGCAACGTATTGGAGTTTGTTTATTAGAGTGTACTTTACTTGTAGGTTTAAATGCTATCATGTTTGAACAAATGAAACTTTTTACCGCAGGTGGGAGTAACATCACAGAAAACCATGAAGCTTTTGCCACCTTCTGGACGCAGAGCCATGCAGAAGGTGTGGTCTGGGACTGTTTTTTTGTTTTTTTTGCTGTTGTTGATTTGCCGTCCTTTGTCCAAGCTCGCTTTTGGTATTGCCAAATCGGCAGGAATGTATATACTTGTGCAATTTGTACTTCTATCCTTTATGTATATTGATATATTTTTTGCGACTTGCTTACATTTTCTCTGACTTGCTTACATTTTCTCTAACTTGCTTTTATAGTTTTTTTTGTATTGTTTGTCGATGTCCCTTGCTGACCCAGCCCAGCTGGACATCTGTGAAAACGAGTTTCATAGCTCATCGGATTTATTTAGCCGAAATAAAGATACTGATTGTTTAAAATGCACCTTGCCATCTCGGGTAGGGCTGCCAAAAATGAAGTTTATGCGTACATGTAAAAGCATCTCCGCCTCTCAATTTACCCAGGACTTGCATATCTCCATATATATAAAAGGCAAAGTTGTGAATGTGTGTCTGTTAAAAATGTTTAGCGTACTTCCCGACATGCAACAAACTTGAAATTTGCCATGTGGATACTTTCCAGACTGTACACCATGCAAAATTTATAAAAATGCACTTTGGGGGGGGGGGGGGGTGGTGGAGCTCAATAATGTATATATTTTTTGCACGGCAAGTGAGCTGTGACGTCAAATCTGTCACGTGACCCGCGCATGTGGCAGCGTAACGCATTGTAGTGTAGTGGTTAGCGCGCTGTGTATGTGTCTGTGTGTGGAAGCGTAACGCATTGTAGTGTAGTGGTTAGCGCGCTGTGTGTGTCTGTGTGTGTGTGGAAGCATAACGCATTGTAGTGTAGTGGTTAGCGCGCCGCGCTACGAACCCGGCGACCCGAGTTCGATTCCCGCTCACGGCCACCACCAGTGACGATTATTTTAACCGGTCCTGGGCCTCCCCTAGGTCGACTCAGCCTCAAACGAGTAACTGCTGTGGTGTGTGAACATCGCCGCTGTTACTCATAATTCGACTCGACTGTGCATTTACTTACAAACATTTATAATTGACAAACTTGACTCTTTCACTGTATATGCTGAGCTTGAAGATGTATTCCATCAAGGGGGTTTAATAGACACACTCGACAGAAACAGCACCCTCTGAAATTTGCTGATAATTATACAGCGTGAAATTAATACTTTTACTTGGTTTAATAAGTATTATCATCCTTGTTTGGTGGCACAAAGAGTCCTCAATGGTGATCTGGTATTGCACCACACGATTGACTTATTTATTAAGCCTGGTTTTGCTTCAAATTGTGTTTATGCGTTGCATTGTACATTGGACATAATTGGATTATTTTGTATTTCCACCTGCCATCACAAAGCATACTATTCATAGTGCATCTTAGCCTCAATTGCAGTGTTGTACTTTCATTTAAAACGAAACATCTGTTAATTTGTGCACTATTCATAGCTCAAAATTTTGCAGCACTGACTGCCAGAGATGACTAATTTTGGTCTGCCTTTGGAGTGGGCTGTTGGGCTGTTGTACTGCATCAACAATCGTAAATGTCGTGACTTTGCGCAGGCGGGGTTTTTTCTCTTTAACTACACTGCCGACAGATAAAGCGTGCTGTAGTATAGCTACAATGCACAATTATGGCATTGCAGAATGTTATATAAAGGCATGCTTTAGACATACATACTGGATTAGCACCTGCTTGAGTGCGCATTTGATTCGTGTTGAGCTGCGAAGCCTCTGACCAAATCACCAGAATGGGTCCAATCTGGTCACCTATCTGAAACTAAAGAGGGTTAAGCCAGGGTATTGCTTGGCAGGTTGTTTTAGGCTACAGAGGGAAGTGCAACAAATCCTATTGTTCTACTGTACTTCTATACTCCCATCTATGCTCCTAAACTTCAGTAGCCCACACTGGACAGTATGGTGAGGCATGGTCAAATAGCTACCACTACCCGCACAACATGAGGAAGCCCTCACCCAGCAGTGGATTGAAAATGAGCTGTATATGCTTACACATGAGCAGTGAAAATAACCTCATTCAATGTTGAGAGCACAAGTTCCTTTGCTGGAAAAACATTGTGGACACCACTTAGGGAGTGGTGAAGCTTAGTATTGTTCAGAATTTACACCTATTTTCTGAAGGATTATTTTCTAAGAGCCAGTTTTTTATTTTCTTGCTACAGGTTGCTGTTGGAGACCAAAACGGCGTCCTCACGTGCTTTGGCATCAAGAAAGGCGAAGTCGTGGTACATGGGCAAGCCAAGACTTAACCAAAATGAATAAAAATGAGCCAGGACCATATAACTATTATATATTTATGATTGAAAGTGAACTTATGCAATTATTATTTCACTGAAAACTCAGTACAATATATTAAAGCCAGAATGTCACATTAATACTGAGAAAACCTCATGACCCAATGCCACAGCATTCCCAAGCAGATATAAATCGATTGTTTCTAAGTGCTGTCTTTAGGAATATGTAAGGGATAAATTATTGTACTTTACTGGAATGGCATGAAGCCTTGAGTTATCGATGTCATTTCAAGGAGACCGCATTCGTGCTTGTGACAGTAATGTCTGGTGCTGTGGGCAACAACCCTGTTTAAATTTAACTTGAAAATTAAGTGTCTGGAGGTTTGGTTGATTTCAAGAATCTTAGTAATTGTAATAAACATAGTTCAGCATTCCATTCAGTTTTTTTATAACATTCACTTTATTTATAACTGGCAAACAATTTATAAACATAAAGTGGATGTGGACAAAGGTTTGAAAGTAGAATACTAAGTATGACATTGAAGTCTTTGCTGTTAAAATCATGCTTCTGTATGACTTGGCCTCGTGCAATTGGGTAATAATAATCAACATCAAGCTGAAAAATCTACTATCGCAGAAAAGTGCATCGTTTCTGCTTCACCCGAATAATCTCTCGGTTTAGTGGCTCAAAAACGTTCTCTTTTTTCCGATGCCCTTCAGCCAGTGTTCAAGACACTGCCAGGCCCAAAGCTGCAGCGGCTGGAGCTGGGTGGCGCCACTGGCACCCCCCAGGAGAAGGTGTTTGTGGCTGCGGGGCCCGAGGTGCGAGGCTTCACCAAGAAGGGAAAACAGTTCCTGAACTTCGAGACAAACATGGCGGAGAGCATCCAATCTATGTGAGCACAAATAACCCCCCCCCCCATCACTGTGTCTGCCAGCTGGCACACTGGACTAGCACTTTACCTTGCTCTTAACAATGTCACCTTTCAGTTATAATAAAAAAATATATTTAGATAATTTCGGCAGCTACTTTGATATGCTTGTTTTAAATTACTGAAATAGTTTCTGTTGTCTATACTTGCAATGTACTCGTTTAAAATGATGGCATGATAAAATTGTGGATATTTTGTAAAATATGTTAAAATAAGAATAAGTTTTACCCTTTCTGGCAATAAAACAGGTGTTAAGATGTTCAAACACCAAATATAAACCTTTTTCAAGGAATCATGTCTGCATTAACCACACGTACTTGTGGTGAACATGCAAACAAAAACACACTGTGATAATATATGGGCATTGTCTTTGAAACTGATTGGTCTACACCAGAGACAGCAGCCTTCTATAGGGCCGAGTCTCACCAGTGTCAAACCAGAAAACGCCAAAAAGCGAACAGTGCTTTGATACTGGTAAAAAAAAGGTCCTGTATTGTAGCTGCTCACCCCGAGCTATAAATGCCCTGATAGTGGCATTGTCTTTATACTGTTCGCCTTTTGGCGTTCTCTGGTCTGACACTGGTGAGACTAGACCCTAAAGAAGGCTGTCATAGACCAATCAGTTTCAAAGACAATGCATATATTATCGGAGCATGTTTTTGTTTGCATGTTCATCACAAGTACGTGTGGTTAATGCAGATATAATCCCTTACAAAAGGTTTATATTTGTTGTTGAACATCTTAACACCTGTTTTATTGTCAGAAAGATTAAAACTTATTTTGTCAAATGTTTTCCAGTTCTAAATTAAGTAAATGTTGTAAAAAAACACTTTATGGAATGTTGAACCATATTTATTACAATTACTACGATTCAAATATAAAAAAAAATATTTGTGGTGTGTTGATGTGCAGATTGCTAAGCTGACTAATGTGATAAGTAAATTAACCTAGCATGAACATTTCTCCTTAATTTTACCACACCATGTAAAATTGTATTACATTGCATTGGAATTACATTGCCATCTTCGTGGTCCATGTGTGGTGGATTTGTTATAAGTTTGGTAAATTGCAAAGGATGTATGAAATATAATAAATCAAAACCAAACCATAGCCCGTTAGTAGGTGGAAACTCATGGCATGCATTGCACTCTCTTCAGGTATGTCTCCGGTGCAGACCTCTTCCTATGTGGAAGCTATATCTACAATCACTACAGGGACTGCCAGGACAAGAACTACTTTCTCTCCACGGACAAGATCAGTGACCTGCTCTGTCTGCCGGCCGAGCGCGTGCCGGACCTCACGCCTGTTCTGGCGTGCAATGACCGTGTGCTACGGGTGCTCAAGGTTGGCGACTGATGTATCCTCGCATACATTAGTTATGAAGTCTATACATGGATTGTATGTGTTTTTTACCACTCTTGTCACGCAGTCATGTTATTTGCCATATATTTAAACACTAATCTGACCATTCTCCTACAAGTGTGGATGGGTGTCTGCCCTGACATGGCTCCATTTTTTTAATTTTCAGCAATCAAGTTTACGGTACGAAATGGAGGTACCCGGCTCGCCGTCAGTGCTCGCCTTGTTTGGTAGAAACGGAGGTAAGCAACCTGCAAAACTGTTTGTAACATCTGCATTGTTGTAGCGATACACGGCAAGGAGCTAACTTGATGTGTCACTGATGGTGCCGGTTGTCTTGGCGTTGCCGGTGGTGGTGGCTTTGACGATGTGTGCAGGAGACAGCGGACAGGATATTCTGTATGGCACTGCGGATGGAAAGCTAGGGTTGTTGCAGATCAAGCCGACAGAGGCGACACATCGCTGGGAAATTGTCAACGAAAAGCGGAGGGGAGGTGAGAACGCTTAACTCCAGCTTTATTTTACATAAACAGAGTTACGTATGTCTTATAGCTTGACTTATTGTGGATTTTACGCGTTGTTTAGCATTCAAAAGATGGACAGTCAAAAAGCTTTGGCAGTGGAATATAAAAGGTATGCATAGGTTAATGCATTTGGAGTGCTTAGTGGACATTTTAGTAAACAAAATTGAACAAGCTGCTGAAGACTCTAAAGTGTTACTTGTATATTTTATATACATGTTAGATTTTAGTCAGAGAATGTGGGGTTTTATCAGAATATTCATACTGGAGAAATCCGATGAGCTATAAAGCTCTTTTTTCACAAATGTCCAGTAGGGGTGGGTCAGAACGTTACACCAAATACAAAAACACGATAGGAGTGCAAAGTATATGAAAGGTAAACAAATCACTTACAAATAAAACTCAACTATTTTCATCTTGCCAAAAAAGTGTCATTGGATATATGTCCTTGTACACCGATGTGAGGCATGGACAAAATGTAGAAAAGTGACACATTAAATAAAAGTGATGTACTTAACGGCTTCCTGGTAATGCGTCTGAATGAAGGTCATACGCTGACGGTTTGCACGGTCGCGATATGAGTATTGATCGGTGTGTGTGACTTGGTTCTGCAGGCGTGCTCTGCATGGACTGCTTCGACATCCTGGGGGACGGTGTCAAGGACGTGCTGGTGGGACGGGATGACGGCACGGTTGAGGTGTATGGCTTCGACTCCGTGGGTGATCCTGTGCTACGCTACGAGCATGTAAGACGGGTGGGGGGTGATGAGCATAGTGTGTGTAGGAAGTGGCTTGCATGACCGGACCCATCTTTCATGTTGGCAAGCACAGCATTTGCTTTATGACGCCTAATGTCTATGCATGGACACATCTGTAAAGCCAAGGGGCAAACGATGTCCCGTGCACATTACAAGAAGACAGCTGCACGCAAGTGTAATAAGCCCTAATTGTTCTTATTGCTCTGTTTGAAGACACACATGGGGCACCAGCTGTAGATAAATTAATGTCTAGATTCATGCTTTTATCTTTTTTTCAAAATCATCCAGCACCTGTGGTTCCTTGTGTACGCAGGCTCTTTCTGAAAGCATCACATCGATTCAGGGTGGCTGCGTTGGAAAGGATGGCTACGATGAGATTATCACAGCCACATACGCAGGTAATTATTTCCCACTGACATTGTCCTATTTTAGCAATGCAATCCTACACCTGTGTCTGAAGTGCTGCTGCTCCTGGTGCCCCTCCGCACAGGCTGGGTGTCTGGGCTCACCACAGAACCTTTGCAGAAGTCGATGGGATCTGGCGAGGAGGTGAAAATGAGTCGGGAGATGCAGACTAAACTCGACAACATAAGGTACCACAGTGGGGGTTATGTTCATGCATATGGGTGCCAGGACACATCCAAATTATCCACTGACTAAACCGTCAGTGTGAGAAAGTGAACTTAAGCCTTTGCCACCCTGCAAGCATTACCGATTATATTTTTAGTTCATCCCACAGGGGGAAACTACTGCATGGATATAATATATACAGTGAGGGAAAAAAGTATTTGATCCCCTGCTGATTTTGTACGTTTGCCCACTGACAAATAAATGATCAGTCTATAATTCTCATGGTAGGTTTATTTGAACAGTGAGAGACAGAATAACAACAAGAAAATCCAGAAAAACGCATGTCAAAAATGTTTTACATTTATTTGCATTTTAATGAGGGAAATAAGTACTTGACCCCCTCTCAATCAGAAAGATGTCTGGCTCCCAGGTGTCTTTTATACAGGTAACGAGTTGAGATTAGTAGCACACTCTTAAAGGGAGTGCTCCTAATCTCAGCTTGTTACCTGTATAAAAGACACCTGTCCACAGAAGCAATCGATCAGATTCCAAACTCTCCACCATGGCCAAGACCAGAGAGCTCTCCAAGGATGTCAGGGACAAGATTGTAGACCTACACAAGGCTGGAATGGGCTACAAGACCATTACCAAGCAGCTTGGTGAGAAGGTGACAACAGTTGGTGCGATTATTCGCAAATGGAAGAAACACAAAAGAACTGTTAATCTCCCTCGGCCTGGGGCTCCATGCAAGATCTCACCTCGTGGAGTTGCAATGATCATGAGAACGGTGAGGAATCAGCCCAGAACTACACGGGAGGATCTTGACAATGATCTCAAGGCAGCTGGGACCATAGTCACCAAGAAAACAATTGGTAACACACTACGCCGTGAAGGACTGAAATCCTGCAGCGCCCGCAAGGTCCCCCTGCTCAGGAAAGCACATATACATGCCCGTCTGAAGTTTGCCAATGAACATCTGAATGATTCAGAGGACAACTGGGTGAAAGTGTTGTGGTCGGATGAGACCAAAGTGGAGCTCTTTGGCATCAACTCAACTCGCCGTGTTTGGAGGAGGAGGAATGCTGCCTATGACCACAAGAACACCATCCCCACCGTCAAACATGGAGGTGGAAACATTATGCTTTGGGGGTGTTTTTCTGCTAAGGGGACAGGACAACTTCACCGCATCAAAGGGACGATGGACGGGGCCATGTACCATCAAATCTTGGGTGAGAACCTCCTTCCCTCAGCCAGGGCATTGAAAATGGGTCGTGGATGGGTATTCCAGCATGAGAATGACCCAAAACACACGGCCAAGGCAACAAAGGAGTGGCTCAAGAAGAAGCACATTAAGGTCCTGGGAGTGGCCTAGCCAGTCTCCAGACCTTAATCCCATAGAAAATCTGTGGAGGGAGCTGAAGGTTCGAGTTGCCATACGTCAGCCTCGAAATCTTAATGACTTGGAGAAGATTTGCAAAGAGGAGTGGGAGAAAAATCCCTCCTGAGATGTGTGCAAACCTGGTGGCCAACTACAAGAAACGTCTGACCTCTGTGATTGCCAACAAGGGTTTTGCCACCAAGTACTAAGTCATGTTTTGCAGAGGGGTCAAATACTTATTTCCCTCGTTAAAATGCAAATCAATTTATAACATTTTTGACATGCGTTTTTCTGGATTTTTTTGTTATTGTCTCTCACTGTTCAAATAAACCTACCATTAAAATTATAGACTGATCATTTCTTTGTCAGTGGGCAAACGTACAAAATCAGCAGGGGATCAAATACTTTTTTCCCTCACTGTACACATTTTATTCACGTATATGTCCCCCTTTTTGCGAGTACAAGCCCCACCCCCATAGTGGAGTTGGCTCCATCTAGTCCCTGCATATGCGCTGATCTCATCGCTACATCTGTGCGGTGGCTGCCCACTCAGATTGTGTTCGCTCCTTTGGCTGCCACTCGTTAATGACGTTTCCTGTTAAGGCTCAATTTTCTTAACAGTCAATTTGATTTTTTATTTAAAGCTTTCGTGACTGCAGGGATTCATATTCTTGGTTCTTTTGGTAAAGTCACGTAGAAGGGAAACAATAAAATAATTAAAACAATAAAATTATCACGACGTTTTGACTGCAACACAAGCAACCATCATCAGATGTGAAAACCACAGCAAGAAAATTTGAAAAAAGTGGCGGTTTTTTGAACGTTAAAAAAACCGCCACTTTTTTCAAATTTCCTTTCTGTGGTTTTCACACCTGATGATGATTGCTTGTGACGCAGTCGAAAAGTCGTGAGAATTTTATTGTTTTATATTTTTTCTTATTTTATTGTTTCCCTTCTACGCGACTTTACCGAAAGAACCAAGAATAGTCAATTTGATGTCTCAAATTTGAACGTGTTCTGCCTCTACATGCGAGTTCAAACTTATCTTCCGATACTTTGGACACTTTTAAGATTTTGTTCCATTTTCTTTGTCAGTGTCTTCATTATGAGCTATGCAGTGGTTTAAAAACAATCTTAGTTTAAGAAAAAACTAAAAAAAATACCTTCACAACCAGTGTTTTTAAGAACTGTGGCGTGCTGCAATAAATGTAACTGAAAACCGAAACTGAAGCTGCCTAAGTTACACAAAACTATATCCACGTTCTTATGAATCATTGTAAATTCCCGAGGCTCAAACAATCAAACTAAAGTAACGTTCCAATATCCTTAGAGTAAAAGGAGAAACATTCAAGCCGTTCTACAAGACTGTCTTCTTTAAATGTTTTGTATGCTGAACACGGTTGTTAATGATACAGATGTCAAAGACATTTACATTCAAAGAAAATACTACCTCTGTAGTCATAACAAATACTTCTTTAGATGGAGGACCCAACTTTTATAAGCCTGAATCTCAGTGGTGCTAGCTCAGGATTCTACCATAGCATAAGTCCTCAGAGCCACCCAATCACTTCTAGCCTTATTCATTATTGACGCATATGTACACATCGCATTTCAACAAATATTAGCACCACAATTTGATTTGGGGGCTTGGAGCACTTTCCTGTCAAATAAAATGTCAACACCTCCTAGGCCAGAGTCCTTGCTGACTGATGAAATTAAAGTGTTGCAAAAGCTAGAATTTGACAATGACATTTACACAGACTTCAAATTGTTCACTAACAACCAAATCAAACTCATGTCATCACTGCGTTATGGTGTTATAGTAAGCCAGAGCTGATTGAAGTCGATGCTAAAATTCTATTGCAATAATACAATTATGACAGAATAAGTACAACCTTTTTTTTATGAACCACTATAAGGCTTTTTACAGAATGCAGTACATGACTAAAGCACATGCACCGTACATACAAACTTAGCAATAAAAACAAGTTCATGAAAAATAATCCCGACTAAAGCAGTCTTACAAAAAGACCGCATATGGCAGGGTCACACCACATATGATCAAATGCAAATACAGTATATCTACAAACTGCTTGTCCATAGCATTTCCTTACAAATATCAATAGGTTACATCATGGGACCTCCTTTGCCAGTACCAAGATATGAGAATAGGTTTTCCCCTTTTTTCTGGCAACAAAACGGGTGTTAAGATGTTAGAACACCAAACTGAAAACTTTTACAAGGAATCATGTCTGCATTAACCACACGTACTTGTGGTGAACATGCAAACAAAAACACACTGTGATACTATATGGGCATTGTCTTTGAAACTGATTGGTCTACACCAGAGACAGCTTTCTTTTGAGACTAGGCTCAATATATTATCAGTGTTTTTTGTTTGCTTTCTGACCACAAGTATTGTGGTTAATGCAGACATGATTCCTTGTAAAAGGTTTCAGTTTGGTGTTCTAACATCTCAACACCTGTTTGTTGCCAGAAAAAAGGGGAAAACCTATTCTCAATATCAATAGGTCTCCTTAAGTGCGATGGTTGTGGTCACCGTTGGCTCTGTGGGGTCCCAGGGCAGAGCTGGAGCAGCTCCAGCTGCAGGTGATGATGGAGCGTGATCACTACCAGCTCACGTCGCAGTCCGACTCAGCGGTGGCCACCGTGCCACTCTTCCACGTCAATGACCGCTTCACGCTGGGCCGCGACGACGCCAGCTACGTTCTGTCCATCGAGGTGCAGACAGCCATGGACCACGTCATGCTGCAGGTCAGGGGTCGCAGCAGTGTTTGCGCTGACACGACGGATCCGGAGATACAAAAGGACTCTATGGGGTGATGTGTTTGCAGTGTAATCGAGAGCTTGCAGTGCCCTATTTACATACTGTTGTGAGAAGTTTACAAGGGGTGTGCCCCACCCAGTCTTCCTTTATGATTCATATGCTGACATGGGTGGAGTCTTTGTTATTGTTATGGTTTTTTTTAGGAAACTATGAAGGGCGATGTTAATTTAACACACAATTGTTTATGAGCAGTGTAAAAAAAATGTAGAAGTTATACAAATTGTCCATAAATTTTGTAACATAAGCCATGTATAGTATTTCACAAGATGACATGACATATTTACCAAATTTGTCTTTAAATATCGTGCTTCTCTGAATGTAAGTTTACTCCCCGATGTATAGTTATCAACTGTGTTATATAGAGCTATATTAATTCAAAACAATATAATGCATATTAATTTTGTGAGTCAGCTTGTGCCTTCATCTCCCTTTGTGCTGTAGAGCGACGTGCCCATAGATTTACTGGATGTGGAAAAAAACTCAGCTGTGGTGAGCTACAGTGCTTGTGACACCGAGGTTAGCAAAAACATTGCAGTACGAGCACAATTATTACATTCCCTTTCCTGCAAGATGTCACTTTAAACTCATGTAGAAAGCTTTGAAGAGGAGCAATGCACAATCTCCCAATATATAATAATTGCACAGGAACGCTGATCTGGGGTGCGATGCAAACCGTTATCCCTAAATGTCCGAGGTTACTCGTCGCTTTGTTTTCACAGTTAAACGGCAACTTCCTTCTGGCAACATACCGATGCCAAGCCAACACGACACGCCTGGAGTTGAAGGTTGGCAGAATTGCACTGCACCACAATTAGCTTTATTGGCTACAAGCCAAGAAGGAAGCCACATTTTAAAGTGCATTAATATATAACGAGGCAGCCCACATACAAATCAGGTCCCTCTGCTAGTTTGTCTCTTTCCCTTATTACATACATTCACGCTAATACAGTGAAACCTCAATCTGTTTTTCATGAGACTTAAAACCGAAGATTAGATCCAGAAAATGTTTAATCTGGTATTATTATATTTGCTATAAAGAACATAACTCATCTTGTGTGGCTTTTCTGCTTCTATTTCTCATTCTCAGTGCTTCTCCGATGCTCTATATGTCTTCAAAGCTTCTCACTCACTCCATTCTCTCGTGTGATGTCTGATTCTCTCAACACATCTGTGCTCTTTCTTGTTTTGCTCCATATATCTTCTTGCCTTGTCTCCTGACTTTCGCTCCATACATCTCTTTGCTTGGCCTGTTTTTGTAACGCCACGAATCATCCACCTCTCACACCACACCTCTCTGGCACCACGTGCCCTGATGCTCACTCATGACGTTTCCTAGCAACCACGTTATTACTGAGTGCCAGGCCACATAGAGTAAATTGGATAGTCACATTACAAGGATGTGTGGATTGAAAGAAGTGGAGACACAACATGAAGTTTTGGAATAAAAAAAGCAGACACCACACAGAGATGCATTCATCAGAGCGTCAAAAAAGTTACTTTTAGAGAGGGGGCCATTCAGTCCATCTGGCTCATTAGGGCAGCTGGAAGGCAGCAAGAAACCACCACCAACATTTGCCCAAGCTTGTGGTCTGCCACTCGGAGAGGAAACTTGCGATGTATAATTCCAATGAAGCAACATGCGGCTTTTTTTTTTTGGCCCATGGCGCGGCATACAATGACCTATTCTTGCGAATGACGTTACGGGACCTATAACGTCGACTGTGAAGCAAGTGGTACATATTTTTACAGTGAATACACCAACAGTATGAATCAGGACAGCCAAATATGTGATAGAAGCACTGCGACACCTCTCGTTACGATTACACAGAGATGACTTTCAGCACATACCATCATCGTGGTTTGGGGAGCTTTCGAAGAAAATATATTGAATATGTACGGTCGAGTGTATTTCTTTTGTATGATCGACAGTAAAACCGTAGTTTGGTGGATGTCTTGACCCGAAAATTGTTACATTGTGCCAATGGGGATATTTTCGGTTCTAAAAGGAGATTATAGATTTGGGAAAGCACAAAGAATGGGAATGTAATGACAAAGTTTCAGTTTACTATATTATGACATCTTCCTAGAATGCCTTACTGTGTGCATTATTTCCTTTCCGGTTCAAACTGCGAGGTTTTATATGTGTACATAGATGTGCTAATTCATCACATTTGCATTGTGTAATTTTCCCTTATTGTGCAGTCAATTTAAAAATGCTGCCCTCTTGTGTGTAGTTTTAAGCGGTGCAGTTCATGTGAAAAAAAATTCACAATGTCAGTGCAGTGTTTTACACGAGGCTATGTTTCTACTGTCGCAAGAAGTGCACAACACGGCCTTTTAGACGCACACAAGGCACACCTGTGATCACTGCGACGGTGACGGTGCACAGATCCGCTCCATCGAGGGCCAATACGGCACGCTGCAGGCTTACATCACGCCACGCCTGCAGCCCAAGACCTGCCAGGTGCGGCAGTACCTTATCAAGCCGCTGTCGCTGCACCAGCGCGTGCACACCATCGACGCCAGCCGGTCAGCCCCACAGTAAACCAAGCATGATGCACCACATTCTTATTACGCAGTGATCGAAAAGTTTGACTCGCATTGCATGGGACTGGCACGCTACAAGAAATGTGGGCATGGTATTTGTGGTAAGTACCTTGACCCTTACATATGGTGTTACCATGCAGTTAACTACACCGGTAAAACAAACCGAAGGGTTACCTCTGCTATATATTTACCATTATTATTTGTATATGTACAATTTTGTGCATTGTGCCATAACATGAATCATAGTTTGCATGCAAAGGCTATATTCACCTATGATACAACAGTTTAGAACATGTTTCAATACATTTTCAGGGAGCTCTATCCCAATTTTCCATGTTTATAGCTGCGCTCGATGAAGTACAGGAAGGACCAATTTTGGCATACAGCATTGTGTATTTTTTCAGGCCAATGAACACGCTGTCACTGACGGGCCAGTTCAGCTGTGCAGAAATACACTCGTGGGTGGTGTTCTGCCTGCCCGAGCTCCCTGAAAAGGCTCCAGTGGGAGACAGCGTCACGTACTACTTCCAAAACACCTTCCTGGAAACACAGCTGGAGTGCGTTTACAGGTAATAATGGGTGGCAGCCGGCGACTTTTAGATTTTTTTTTCTTAATTTGTTCTTCTGTTGAACGACTTGTACAAGACCTGTGCATTGTGCTTAATGATTTACACCATACAATCAGCACCCATCAAAGCTGGCAGCACTTGGGCACATTTTACGTGGGGAAAAACTTTAAAATAAACTCTCCTGTGACCTCTGGCAGTGGTTGGGGGTTTTCTTAAGTTACATATATGTAAGATCACCTTCACTTTTTATATTTTTTATCATTTTTCTTGGTGCTATATCCCAGTTTTCCTTTTTAAAATGTTATATTGAACTTCTTTCGCACCGTCGCACCGTATGTAGCTAAACGTGAAAATCAGAGGTTATCTCACTGGAAAACAATGCACATCGTCCTCTACAGGAAAGGAGAGGGGGTGTTCAGGTCCGACAACATCTCTACTATCTCCATCCTCAAGGACATTCTCACTAAGGAGGCCACAAAGAGGAAGATCAACCTCAACATCTCCTATGGTGAGATTGATGCGAAGTGGCCAGATGTTAACATTCAGCAAAGTACAGGCGTAGTAACATACACTGTTGTTAAATCCAAGAGACGTCATATTGACTGCTAAGGAAAGTTAAGTGGGCTTGGATAGGACACATCACTAAAACGGATGATGTCCAATGACTGAGGCTGGTGATGAGATTGGCAGCCAGTGGAATTGGAATATCATGCACAATAGGCCGACCACTGTGTAGAGGGAATAATGAGATTAGCTCATGTCCAGGAGCAAAGTGGATTGTGGCATTATGGGACCATGGGGAGTGGCGATGATGTGGTGAAGCCTCCATCTGGCAGTGGAATGAACATGGCTGATAAGTGTGATGCTTCAAAAAGCTGTCAGATGTCTGAAATAAGCCACTAATTCTGACACAATCTATTGAATAGCAATCAACCGCTGTCATGTATCCCTTTACTTTTAATGCAATTAAACATGTACCTAATTTATCTTGAATTATCCTAATAAGGTGGTGGTGAAGGAGGTGTCACACCTTTGGTGTCCTTGTACACTCATAAAAATCCTTACACGTGGGTGGGTTAATGCTTTAACATTCCCGTTTTATGACACCGATCCACGCTGTCCATTGCCAACCAACATATAAACTCTGAATGCACCACTGATCTCATTCATGGTGTGTGGCAGACATGAACGAGGACTCAATTGGACACACGCTGCAGCTAATCCACCCCAAGCTGGAACACCAACTGATGCTTGCCAAGAAAGTACAGCTTATAGACGCCCTCAAGGTAAGCCAGCCACAGGCCAGCACCCTACGCATCTAGTGACAGTAGTACATTTCAGTTCATTTATTTTGGTATAGCCCTGTGAGCCATTCGGCTCTTGAATCGGGTGCAACCACAACAAACAAAAACACAAACAAGAAAACATCTTAAAGTGACTATGTGACTGTGCAAACAGAAAATCCATGACAAAAACAGCAAAATATTCCTGAAAAAAGCACCGTACACCAACGCTGTGTGCAAAAAATCCCAGTGGGATGCAAGTTAAACAACAACATCAACCACAAGAAAACTTAGATTAAGGCCATCAGTCTAACTCTGTACTACAACAAAACAAACATGTCCAAACCAAAAAACTTTTCGAAATCACCAAAAATAAAGGCATAATTGCAACGTAACAGTGATCATAGGGACTGTGACCGAATTTTTACAATAAACTACATAAATAACATGTAACACCAAATCCTAGAGCCATAGCTGGCTGCATGAGTTACTCCACAACAACAGAAGCATCAGTCGGAGTATGAAATTTTTCAATGCACCTTTAAGATCAGCACGCTAAATCAAAATACAGATAATACTTTGCAGCGTCATCCGGAGCGAAACTTTTATTTTACGCCAATGAATAGCAGTGGCAGCTAGGGGTGTACAATTCCTCTAGAGCAGTTATGAGAGATCTCATTTGCAGCGATTCAAGTTGCAGTTTATTGGCAATACCATTCCAGACCTTGGGGGCATCAATAGCAAAGGCCCTTCCTCCAGTTTTTGTACGGCAATAGGGAATGTGAAGCTGGTAAATGAGCGAATACCTGAGGTCAAATTTGTTATTTGAAACTGAGAGGAGATCCAGCAGGTAGTCTGCGGATTTTTTTGTAAGTACATCGTGAATAGATAAGGTCTGGTGCACAAGCTGTCGAACATTGAGATGTTAAGTTTGACCCAATGTAGAGATCAGTGGTGAGTCCTGTATGGGCAGTTCAATGTAAGAATGCCACCGAGCAGTGATGTGCTACTTACAGCAGGTTCTGTATTAGGCAATAGCTCCAGTCTGTGTCTTAACACAGCAGAACAGCCTGGATGTGTTGGCAATTAAAAAAAATGATTGGCAGACATTAATATAAAGATTTTCAGTGGAGCCTGACGACTGAAGTGTTGTTTTGAGACCATATCCAAGCATACTTTTGCGGTTTTGGAAGCAAGGTTCAATGCAGAAAGGTTTTTCCATTGTATTTTTGGCAACAGGAACTACAGGTGCATGAGGGGAACATGGATTTCCTGATTGCGGAGTACCGTGCCATCCTGCTCGAGGCCGACTCTCTGCAAGAGGAGTTCAAGAAGCAGCCATCCCATCTGGAACGTCTCTATGGTAATGGCAGCCGTGAATATGCGAGCAGCTCTTTTGACAAGTATATGGCAGTGCCACCCAACTTCCCACCAGGGAATAGGAAAAACAAGCACAAAGGTCATTATGATGACACAATTAGGCCAATTTGTAGGTGCATTCCAATATAGAATTTCTAAAATAATTGTATAATAACAAAGTTGAGGTGCAGTACATTATTGACACAGAAATCAATTCACAAAGTGCTTACATACGTGTTCCAGGAAAAACAGTTGATATTGCTTCTGAATAAAAAAAACTTAAGGATCTTGTTTCTTTTCTAACCATGGCCGCAGGTATGATAACGGATCTGTTCATCGACAAATTCAAGTTCAAGGGGACGAACGTGAAGAGTCGGGTGCCCATGCTGTTGGAGGTGCTCGACAACTATGAGCTCAACACCCTCACGGAGTTTTTCAATTCTACATAAAAAAAGCCATTTCACTTCCCGCTGATCACAGCCTCCAGACTTGGCTGCACGACACCCATGACCTCATCTTCAAAACACCACTGGGATTGTGGTCTTGAGGGGTTTTCTGCCGCTTAAAAAAAAGTCCCCTCAGTGGTTATATTGCAGAAATTGATTTCTGTTAGCTAGATTTGAGTTATAAACAATGCAATGTCAATGTATAAGTCACAGCCTACTGTTCAACTCGGCCCTCGACTGTAAAGGACAGATGGGGAGACTGTTCAGAATTGTTAAGCCGAGCTTCCCTTTAGGTCTTGGCTAGTACATGCCTTCACAGCACCAATGATTATCTTTTCAGTTCTAAAATTAGGCGTTGTCATTTTGACTGGCAGTTGTAGGTCTACTGGAAGGACATCTTAAGTCCTCAAGCTCTGCCTTGTTCAACCCTCAATCTCCCACAGTATATAACTGTTGTATATTTTAGAGAAACTTACCGTGTACACGTTGAAGCTTATGGGAAGTCAAAGGTGCAGAAGTGAATGTAAAAGTATCCGAAGTAAAATGCTGAACATGACAATACAACACAGCTTTGACTGCATTGAAATGTTTGTCTATACAGTTGAAAATATTAATGAATGTAGTTTTCACAATGGCATTATGCAACAAACGCATATTCCAGCTTTGATTTTACTGCTGCATTTATTAAAGTAATTTTGCCAAAGTTGTATATTTTGTTACAACCTTGTTTACAAGAAATTGTAAAATTAACACCAAAAAACTGGAACGTTATAGCATGAGGTTAATATTCCCTTTTTATCATGATGCGAAAATCATCACATGTACATTCCTTGACAAATCATGTAACAGCATCACTTAAAGGCTTTTGGCAATTTCAAAAAAAATATTACATATTGAGATTTCTGATGAGGTAAAGTTAGAAACTGTACTATTTCGTCTGTGCTTCTATACAATACAATAAACAAATCAACATGAATTGTAACATTGTTTATGCAAATGTTACAGTGTTGCCACTTGCTCAACAAGAAAATGGAATCGCAACAAAAGAAATGTGGCCTAGGCCCCCACTGCATCCACCCCAAATGATGATTACTCAGTCAAGTGCTCAGTCAAGTGCTCAATGAATCCAGTAACTGTTAAACTTCGGTTTTGAAGGCCCCCACCATCCAGCTCTCAAGTCAACAAACATTCTTCTATTATAACAAGACCTCTTTTCAAATACATACGAAGAAGAAAGAAAAACATCTACTTTGGTGGTCAAGGGACACTCAACCTTCGTAGTCCCTGTGACCTTTACAGAACAAAGCAGCTCAAATTCTGCAGTACAGGCCAAAGTGACCCTCGTTTTTGGTCACTTCGCTCTGCTTTCAAGAAACGGTCGGTGTTTATGAACTCGCCCATGTAGAAAAAAGCCACCTAAAAACAAATAGTTACAAAGCCTTTTGTGGTCTTTTTTGGGCTGTATGACAAGAATCCCCAAGCTGCACTGGTGAAAAACTTTAAAGTAACTTTCAGGAATGCAGCCAGTGCTATACCAATATCACTATTTAACAGTACAACAGTCATGCCATAGTGACACACTGGAGCACAAAGATTGTGTTTAGCTGTAATTTTATAGCTGTTGTTTGGTTTCGTCTTCCTATAAATGTAAAGGATCATAATATTTCACTGTAGCACCCGACAAAAGCACACTGGGCCTAAGACGGACAGCCACGCAGTACACACAAGCTGTGGGCTAAACACAACCTGACGTACTGCATAAGGGCCACTACCCCTGCCCACTGACTGATCCAGAGTCTCACCACTCTGGCCCCGTGGAACTCCTGGGCAAATCGACGTCACTTTCATTCAGAGTACAGCAGCTTCATGATGAACTCCTCATGGTCCCACTCTAGGTGACTGCTGCTTGGGCCTGCCCCGCCGCCTCTACCCTGGCTTCGCTGAGGGTCGAGCAGCGTGGCGTGGCCGCCCGTGGGCAGAATGGACGACGAGCCATCTGGGCACTGCAGCTGCTGGGGAGTTGTGCTGCCAGTGTAAAAAGTAAAACAAAATTAGTTTTAAAAGACGATTCTTGAGAAACAATGGTTTTACTTTTTTCCATCAAACTGCATGCCAAGTTCATGTCGAGAGCTGAATAAATGTTCTGGGAATACCATCAGCAGAACTTCACGTCGTGGACGATGACAACACACAACTACTTCTGGTGTCACTTCATTAAACATCTCTCACACAACTCTGGATGCTCTGTGCAATGAAAAATAGTAGTTTGCCGTGTAACATTGTATACCATTTGAACCATTGTGCAATAATTGGTGATCTCATGGCAGTACTTCACTTTAAAACCGGGCTTCATATTTGGTGGCCGTCTCGGCTAGAACTCAAGTAGTGCAGTAAACACAGACATGACCCCTCTGGTATCTCAAGTGTATTCAATAACAAGTAGGGATAGCTTATGTATACTCATGGATTAAGTAACACTTTCCAACATGCGTTGGTCTTTGCAACTATTCAATTCGCAGTATGGAAACCAACAGATGGCTGTCAGGGCAAAAATGCATCTTCATATTTTCAAAGTCATTTTTGCTTGCGTCTCCATTTTTTTGGAACCCTTAGATTACTTTGGCCAGTTTTCAAATGGCACAAGTTGCTAATAGGAAAAACTTTACACTACCATTTGGTTCATATTGGATCATCCTCATTAAGAGTCATAGTGCCATCATGTTATGCACAGAGACATTTAATTTAAAACGCTTTAAACCAGAGTTGAAAGGTGTTAAAATCAGTGTCAGCCCAATAAATTTAATTGAAGAGCATGTTTTCCTGGACAGTTATTTTCACATTCGGCTGCACACAGTTCACCAGTGATTGAACACGCACACCCGGTCTCACCTGGGCATCCTGGACAGCCCAGGGCCCACCTGAAGGTTGTGTATCGTGTAGTTCAGGGGCCCCTCGCCTCGTGCGTCCCCCTTGACAGGCAACCCTGCCTGTTGGTAGTCGTTCATGGTTTCATAGCTCTGACCACAGACGAGTGGAGCGATTCCTCTCGCCGCAGAGGCCACATTTGCCTGGCTCTGAGAGATGTGTAGCTTGCATGAGCAGGCAGGTACCAGGGTTGCAGGCTCCATGCTCACCGCCCCAGCGGAATTAAGGTGTCTCAGGGTAGAGAGGCCGAAATGCACATTGAAAGGCGACTCTCGCTGCATGCGGAGCACCTCGTTTGGTGCCGGGGCATAAAAACCGACCGAAGGAACGGCGGAGGACAACGATGAAGATGTTAAGCAGGACGGTGTCACTGCGCGCCCAACGTCGCGTGGCAGAAATGGCGCGTACGATGACATCGCCACCGCAGTCGCCGTAGACTCCCTGCGAGCTGCCGAGGAGACCGGCACGAAGGCAGACACCTCCGAGTCGTACGATAAGTGTTTTGCTTGGAGGTGGGTGCAGGTGGTGGAGCCCGGAATGGGCCTTGCCTTGTAAGGCATGGGATGCGAGTGCCAACGCGATGGCTCTGCTTCCATCGTGGGATTCATCGTCTGATGAATAATTGGTCTTGGCTGAATTACTGTGAGAAAACATGAACAATGTTATTCATTTTGATTTAAAGCTTTCGTGACTGCAGTAATTCATATTCTTAGTTTTTTCGGTAAAGTCACGTTGAAGGGAAACAACAAAATAATAAAATATATATAAAACAATAAAAAATTCTCACGACGTTTCGACCATAACTCAAACGGTCTGAAAAGAGAATAGATGGACTAGTCCTAAATAAACTGCCAAATCGTTGCGCGTGGCGCTAACGTTTTTATAAATAAATAAATGCGCCGTTTAAAAATACATTTATGCAAACCAACACACCTGAAGACGACCGTTTGAGTTATGGTCGAAACGTCGTGAGAATTTTGTATTGTTTTATATATATTTTATTATTTTGTTGTTTCCCTTCAACGTGACTTTACCGAAAAAACTAAGAATATAATGTTATTCATCTTGACTTAAAGCTTTCGTAACTGCAGGAATTCATATTCTTTGGGTCTTTCGGTAAAGTCACGTAGATAGGTTCAAAAAAATAAAATAAACAAAAAACGACGTTTGGATCGCAACACAAGCGACCGTCACTTGTGTTGTAGTTTTTTGTTTATTAAATTTTTTTAACCTATGTGACTTTACCGAAAGATGTTATTCATGGCCGATAGAAAATTTGTGAACATCAAAACGCAGGTACTCTAAAAGCCAGTTTGCTTTGTTTGCGTTTAAAAGGACTCTGGATGGATGAGGTCCAGTGAGCAGTTGCATAAACACCACATTATTTTGTCTTATATATGTACAGCTCTTTTGTCAATCCACTGCTGGATAAACTCCTGCCCATGCCGTGCAGGTCACGTGGTTTGTTTAATCATACTTCACATTGCTAGTTGGTAAAGGTGGAGGGCATCTAATTGAGAGCATAGTACAATACGAGATTATTTTTTCCTCTCTGGCCTCTGCTGCACAAGTTTGATGTTTTTGTTCTTCTAAATACCGATTTAAATTACAAAGAATATCCCAAAAGACGATTTATGCAACCGGCCAGAAGATTAGACGGCAGTTTTATTTGGTCAATAAAATCTCAGTGATCACTTACGCTTGATGCTGGTTGGTTTGTAGACGTCTCTGTGAGAGGGCGGTGGGGCCATTGAAGTGTGGGCAATTGGTGGCTCAGGCAGCAATACCACAGGACCACCACACAAACTGCAAAACACATCGTTCGTGATTGCAGGATTAATGAATTCTCCATAAATAAGGGAGTCCAGTTTACCACGGGAATCCAATTTACCATGGAAATCCAGTTTAAAGATTACTTCATGACATTATTCATATGCATTGTGGATCTTGAAATATATTTGTTCACCAAATTCGAAAAACATGCCGACCCTTGGTATAGGGGGTGGGAGTGGTAATGCAGTGGTTATCACACTGTGCTATGAACTCGGTGGCTTGAAGAAGTCGATTCCCAACCACGGATAACATTGATGGCGAGCAAAATCTCTCCCATTTCTGGGCACCACTTTACAAACCCACACCAGTCATCATTGGTGAAGTTTGGTAAAACATGACTGATAAGGTGTTGGGAGGCCTTCATCCACCAGTGGATGAACAATGGGATGTAATTATTTCCAACATGCATAGTCCAAATAAGCTAATTGTATGCAACGACCAACTATTGCAAAAGGATTCTACAGTGGGAGCTGCAAACAACATTTTTACTGTATTGTGGTACGTAACGATGAGGCCTTCATCTAGCAGTTGATTGTGGATGAAATCAGTTCTCATGTTCAATATACATAGTATCATACGAGTAAGAATCATTACTTTCTACTTGTCTGTAGTATGTGCTCTAAATTGCTTTAGAATCCTTTGTAATTGGCATACATTTACCACAATAGCTAAAAAATTTTTCACAATTCTTGAATCCAAATCGTGACGATTCATCACATCAAGGAGGTTGCAGATGACGAATTGTTGAAATGTGTAACATATTCGGACAATAAAAACAAAAGTCACTGCCCAAGACTATGTTAATGCAGATGTTTTCAGTTATAAGGCAGTGTTAATGATAATTGTGCAGTGTTTCCATCAGCAGAGTTGGCACCTGTCCCGTTTCTCCCAGGATATTTCTCCATTTGAGACAGTTTTATTCGGGAATCTGCAAGTCTTCCCAGGATATTAAAAGTCCTATTTCTTTGTCAGTTGTGTATGCACCGCTCATGACAAAACATTCACATGTAGTTCTCCTGTCTTCTAGTATTAAAATAGTTTCTTATCATATTGGCCCAATTTTTTTGTACCACAGGAGGTGGCAACCATCGTCTTCAGCCTCTGAATATAGCACGAATGCTGGGACTTGATCTCTTTGAATGGGACGTGGAGCACAGAGTGGCAGGTTGAGCGATTAGTTTGGGTTACGTTGTTTTATAATGACCTTTGAGTCTCGTGACTTGGCCTCGCGTCCATCTCATCACCAGGTTGAGCTCCTCCAGGAAACTGCTTGCTGGGTTTCTCTGCCCTAGAGACAAGACGATGGACTGCCATACAATTTAGATTTTTCATGGCATTGCTATAAACTATACAGATATGGTCAACTCTCAATTATCCATGAGCGGATTGTCTGGGTTGCAGATTAATCATGCTTGTGTGAAAAAAAACAAGATTTGTACTCCTTCTACATGTGTTGGCAGTTGTGTTGGAAGAAAATCGTTGGACATCACGCTGAACAACATGTGACGCAAAATACAAACTTTTTTTTAACTCATATTACTACTACTTCCCAATGATGATTCAATGGCCATGAGACTGAGATATTGAAAAGTAAATGTTATATATATAAAAAACACGACGCATTCATTAAACCACATTATACACAAGCTCATTAGAAAATCATTTTCTCCATCACAATCAGCTTATCGTTTGAATGAATGCAACTGCCATCATCATTGAATAATTATTTACTGCAAAACACAAATGGATAAACACTGGAGAAAATCACAAGCATATGTTTTAGTCCATCAGCTTATTGCCTTTCCAAATCCATGAGCGTTTTTTTTCAGCAAGGAATCTCTGCATTGGTTTCAACCTTCTGGGTCTCACCAGCAGATTCCAGCTTGTTAGGCACATGCTTGCCAAGAATGCCAGAGGTTATTGGCAAAAGTGCCTCCATCAGAGTGATGGAGTCCTTGTCAATGCAAAAAAAGCAACACTTTATTGTAATCAAACTAATTATATGTTGTCGTGTAGCATTCCTGACAGAGCGATGATCATGATGGCAAATGCACGGACGGAGAGTTAACTGTTTGGTTCTATTCAGTAAAGTCACGTAGGTAAAAAATAAAACAAAAATCACGTTTCGGCCACAACACAAGTGGCCTTCATCAGGTGAAGGGATCGTGGTGTCACGAAGACAGCGTAGGAATTAAGAAAGTCAAGCCAGGTCGCGTCCTTTAAGCTGTGTGGGAATAAACCAAACGCTTTGACAAAGGAATTAGCATAAAGTGCAGATAGAGCACCGAACACGGGGGGGGGGGGGGGGGGGGGGGGGGGGGGGGGAGGGGAGTTTACAAACGTTGTTTCGAAGGGAAATAAGCTGCTGTGAAAGTTTGGTATATCACTACTTGGATAAATATACTGTACCATTGAAATTAGTTTAATGTTTGGTATGATTTAGAACATCTTTCCAATGATTGCTTAATTTGAAACCATCTTCTCGGTTGAAATTGTGTCTGTGTTTGTAAATCTGAATTGCCTCGTGGACAAATCTCTGATGATAACCTAAAGGTTTGCAAAGGACCTTGGTATCGGAGAACACTATATCGTGATCACCCACAGCGTTGTAAAGTCACCTACGTGACTTACCTACGTGACTTTACCGAATAAAACTAAAGAGTATGGATCCTTGCAGTCACGAAAGCTTCAAATCTAAAAAGGACCTTCCATAATAGTTTTTTTTGGGTTAGATCGTGTAAATATAAATGTGTCGTTAAACTCGCCACCACCCGACACAGCCAATTAGTAAGGTTTATCATGTAAACAGAACATGCCAATTCATTCGCGGGTTTAACGACACATATTTACGCGATCCAACCCAAAAACAAACGATATTACAGATGACATTGGTCACGAAAGCCTACTACGTGTCAAAACAAAAAGGACCTTGATGGCAGGGCCGGCTGCAGTGCATGAATGCTCTTGGGCCACAGGTCCTTTTGTGCCTTTGGCAGCTTGCTCACCCGGTGGTAGTTCTTATTGCTCTGCAGGTAATCAGCAAACTGCAGATAACCATTAGCAAACGGCGGAAAATAAATGTTTACGATATTGCGACACAATCCATCTATAAACCTCAGGACATCATCATTACCACATTACCACTTAATATTCCTATCGCGCGCACCCCCCAATAGAGTGCATCTTGAGGCGTCCTAAGGCAGGCGACCTCCGGTGGCAGCTGTCCCTGCGAGGCTCAAGGTAAATGCAGCACCGGCCAGAAAGTTGCCACTAGGCGGAATGCTGCTATGTGGCTTTGCAATTAAGTAATTTGCGAGTCATTTAAGATCACAGAGTACAAATGGGCTCAAAAACACATATCGCAATACGCAAGAAACAAAAATACTAAAATCTGATATTTTGTACGATATCAATTGTTGACGCTAGTGTTGTTAGTGAGCACCCATTAAGGTCAGCATGGCATAAATGCACGCATGGTTACTTTTGTTACAACAATGTTGCTCTTGATACAAAGCACGTGACACCATTTTATGCAGAGTTGGCCTATATGTTGGTCTGGGAAATATGTTAAAGTGCATTTTCAAGGAAACTACCCCAAATGCACTTCCTGAATTGTCAATGGCGGAGCCAGGATTTTCAGGTAGGGGGGGCAACCCCTCCAGCAATGAAAAATGATAGAGGAGTTGTGAGTAAGTAAGGAGTTGTTAGTAAGTCAGGAGTTGTTAGTAAGTAAGGACTTGTTAGTAAGTAAGGACTTGTCCCTTGCTTTTTATTCGACGCGTGTGCAGCGATGGCGCAGCCATCGATCGATGGTCGAATTCGAACCGCGTGGTGTGATCGGCATCGCGCTCGCTGAAGGTGAATGCCTTCAGGGAAGTCGTCTACTGTATACGCAACTTCGCACAATTATAAGTCACTTATAACCGCTTTGCCGTTACTTATTGCCAATTATGGACTCAGACTATTGTCCTATCATCTCATAGAGTCCCTGGCACATAATAATATGCTACACAGTGGCAGTGGGGGGTCGCAAAATGCCGATTTATTACTAATAAACCCCAATGATCTGATCGAAATTAGGGATTTCTATCGAAAAATTGGGGCGGCACGTGCCACCCCACCCCCCCCTTCCCCCCATTCGTCTAAATGTAACACTAGCATACGATTTACATAAACTTCAAACAATCGATTCTTACACTCCCAATTCACGTACAGTATCGCGAGCAGAATAATCTTTTTCAATTCGAACAACATATGCATCGTTAAACGTCGAATTCTCAAGTGTCGGCAGGGCCCGCCTCTGACAGCTTGGCTGCAGACCAGCGATATCCATTGCCGTCAAGTGATGGGCCCATCGAGTGCGAGGCCCCCAAACCACCACTTCTACGACTTCACGGGGAACATCCAGGGACAGGGGAAGGTTTCCTCATACATCATGTCACTCTATTCCAATGATGAAGGCTCTATCCTCCTGAAAATGCACGTGCACTAAACGACTGTGGATGGTTTCCCTGGTTGTGTTGTGAAGGACTGCACTTCCGATTCGCACGGTTGGCTACATACGGTGCGAAAGAAGTTCAACATGCTTCTGTACAGAAGCCGTGCGTGTGCGTGCGGCAGTGTGTGCGTGCATGGGCAAGCGTGTGTGGCACCTGCTGCATGTGCTGGGCCGAGACCAGGGGTAGGACAAGGTGCAAGTAGGAGACGGCGGCTTCCAACACAGAGGCCATATCGGGTCTCTTTCTGGGGTTCAGAGGCAGCAGGCTGTTCATGTTGAGGCAGCAATGCTTGATTCGCCCCCTTCAGCCAAAGTGAGAAATCGGGTGTTTTGAACTAATTTGGCATAACCTGCTCTCAGAACGAACATGTCACGTAAATCACAACAAGACTGACACGCAACAAAATCACTCTTTGAGAACATCTGAATAAACGCTACAAGAGTGAGGGACAACAGGAGTGATAACTGTAAAATGGTAAGTGGCGGAGGAGAGGGCATGGCAACACCGGAGAGGGTGGAGAGAACCACACCGAGGAACGGCGCAGGAAAAGCAAGGCCAAGTACAGGCAGACGAAGCAACCGGTGCCCAACAAGTCCCAGGGGGATGGGGTCCCCCACCATCGAGTCGCAGGGGGCCACCAGGGTGGCACAAACATCTCCCAGGGCAACCTCAGGCGGGTCAAGAGTACTTCTTAGTGTTAGGTGAGAGTATTCACCCGTCAATAAATCACATTGTGTGCCTCTTACCAGTGCAATCAACTGTCCACACTCCTCCCAGCATACACAAATGGAAGGACACGGCGTCCAAGCGCAAGAGGTCTCCAAATGTATTTATAAATGAACCTCTGATTAGCACGGTTGGCTACGTACGATGCGAAAAAAGTTCAACATACATACTATACATTCTTGTGCATACACGCAAAGCAGCACTGCTTAGTACTGGACATGTGAAAAACTGGATATCTGTGTCGAAATAACTTTATAGCAGATCGGATTCCTCCAGTATAAATACTCTGATTTTGAACCCCCACGTGACCATGCCCCACATAACCACCGCAGTTCCACGAATTGGCTAGACATACCCCCAGTGGTTGCACATACCGCAGGTGGGGAACCGCTGGTCCAGGAACACCACAGGTGCTACTCACCTGCGTTGGCGCTCCTTCACCGAGTGCCTGACCAGGGCAGTGCTGTGCTTGCAGTATGCCCGCACTACCAGATCAGCCCGAGCTTTCTCCAGCACAACCTGGGTCTGTCCAGAATCCTGAACACCACCACCTTCCTTCGTGGCCTTGCAAACCCCTTCCAAGCTTGGCTGTTGTGGAGTTGTCATTCTGAGTGCAGTGTTTATGTTCCATTTTGGGATTTTGTTTTTCATGTACGTGTTATACGTGTGTACAGAGAGAGGCAGACGACAAAATAGGCATGTAAGGATTCGGTGACGATGTGGTGTCATAAAGCAATTTAAGAATGGATATTTTCTTACATTTGCATTTTCTGGTTTGTGTTGTTCATCTGATATGTTACAACTCATTTTCAGTCTAGTTTATTATTTTAACCCCAAAATTTCACTTGCATACAATATAAATTGTAAAGAATATGTTCTTATATACAATTAATGTATAATGGCAATGAGAATCAGTATTAAAAGAAGCTATTCAAAGCATCATGCACATTAAAAAAAATCTTCAAATAATATCTTGTGGAGAAATAGCAACATTTGACAATATGATGGTATGTTTTGACATTTAGTCAAATAAACAATGCAGAGGGAGGACAGATAAGCACGTTTGGAATGGCATTCAAACTTTGCCCCAGATATTGGTGAACACAAAGGTGTTACCTTATCGATTTGTTATCCGTGGAGTTGCCTTGGCTGGGGCCAGTGTTTTGGATAGCCGGAGGGATTTGCTGGAAGCTATCCCATAGCGCAAGCGAGGTCCACTTTGTGAGGATCCTCTGTATTGCCTGCTGCGTTAATGGACACTCAACGGTGTCATCAATGCCGAATGCAGACAAATTCTCTGATGAGACAACATACACACTCTCGTCAGATAACCAAGTAAACATTTCTCTATATACGGTACTATTATTGCTTTCTTATCATACACTGAAAACTGTTTTGTCTCTCCATATTAAATGTCCAACCTGTACAATTTGACCTTTGAACTGCAATAATTGGTGTCTTCTCGTTTATCTTGCTGTCATATCTGAAAAACAGCAACTTGAAAATCACCACAAACTCAAAAACAACAAAATAAATTTTAGGACCACATTTAAAAATCGTGCCAGAACAACCACAAAAATTTACAATTCATTAAAATATTTTCCAGGCTTTCCCATCTCTACCTAAAACAATCCCCAAATATCATAAACCACAGGCCCAGTACATTGCATTTATATAATCAGCAATTCCACAAGGACCAGTATAATTCCTCAGAAAATGCATTTCCACAAATAACATGAATTTGGCCCCAAACTTAATCGGCTCACACCTTGGTTAAATAAAGGACACAAAGCTTTCGGCCGCTGCTCTGCGATAACCCAGGCTTGGTGCCAATATTGCGATAGCAACGTGACCAGGTCAGTGCACCCCACTCCCTATTAAGTTTTCTATTTCAATGTCACACGGTACAACATTCCCGTAACCCCAGAATGCTTTGTCTGTCCTTGAGCCCAGGACACTTTGCTTCTCCCGATGCTGTCCCACGCGCCGGCTCGCCCCGGTGCCCGCGGTGACCTGACGAAGCAGGACACGTGGAGCGCGGCGTGGCGCGCCTGTCCCCGCGACGCCAGCTCCAGCAGCAGCAGAGCGAAGGGGTGGCGGGCGCACAGTTGCGGTGCTCCCAGAGCCTCGCTCCACTCCAGCCGAGGCGACTGCGTCCCGAGCGGCAGCGCGTTCTGCACGCGCCACGCCACCTCCTGACACCACCCGAGTCTGCCCACCATCAGCAGGCACGCCTGCGCACACGCGCGTAATTCGCGGGCTCAAGACAAGATATTCGGTTGTATTTTTTTGGCACCCGTGGTAGCATAACTTTAGCGAGTTACAATTTTTTTTCGTGACAAAATCTGTGAATTGTGTGATAACTGTTTGGGTCATCATATAATTCACGATTCTAAGCTGTATAAATACATGTGTATTGCTACCTTAGGTGGCATCAATTTCTGTTCTGGCCCATGGGACTAACACACAGTCCATTCGGTTATTCTGCCTACATTGAAGGCTCGGTCTACAAAAACCTCCTTTGTCTCATCCACAATGTGTTCAACCACCAGACTGAAGGCAAAAAGACGCTTTTCGTTCCGCTTCTTCCCTTGCCCTGCTGCCACAGAAATTATCTCCCAATGTCTCGTCTCCCAGGTTATATATCTGGAGTGGGTTAAATTCAGGCGCACACTGGACTTTGGAGGCAACACTATTATCTAAACACAACGGGTAAGTCTTAACATTAACAGGTTAACGACATAGGGTAGTAACCACCGTTCCTAACCGAGCTAACACACGGGGATACTACGTCACTGGACCCGAGACCGAGGATCGTAGATGGTGGCTTCATCCCAGAGTTGACTCAGCAGAAGAGCCCAGAAGAGCCCCCAGCTCTGGGTCCACACCCCGCTTATAAACCACTCCGGCGTGGCCGGCTCCGCCCCAGGCCACGCCCCCCTTCCCGATCCTTCGGGAAGGCCCGAGCCCCCCCAACCACGTGACCCCCCCCCCCTGGGGCCCCTTGCCCCCCTTTATCCGGTCACGTGTCCTGTTGGGTTCACGCAGAGTGTCACGGCCCGACACGACCCCCGTGACACCCGCCTACAGCCCCCATACCGAGCCAACACAGCAGTGTCGTTCTACTACACTACATATGTTGAACTTCTTTCGCACCGTCTTGCTCCCATCCACTGGCCACTAGGGGTTGCAACCAACTCCTCGGATTCATGATAGGTAGGGAGGAGCGGGGGGCAAGACCGTTTCCGTCATTCTGTCCCAAACAGATCTGGATGAAATTAAGCCCTGGATGTAACTTCAGGAAGCGCTTTCAAGTGGCTGGGTTACAAATGAGTCAGCGATGCTGCCGTTGCCTTGGGCAGTAGTGCAACAAGGACAATTAACACAGCCATCGTTAACACTGCGGCCTTGAAAGGAACAAATACAGGGTGCTTCAAAATGTTTTAACACTTCTGAGAATTTGCGATAATACCACAATGTCCCTCCGGGCTTTGGAGACCACCTGGAGAAGATTCCAGGCGTGTGTTGACAACGATGGCGAACAAGTGGAGCTTTTATCATACATTTGTTATCATGTTAGTGCATTATCCGTTTTTTTGCCATTACCAATAGTCCCATTTAAGCACCCTGTATCATTGGTCACGTTCGGTCAACACTGTAGTCCTTAAATGTACGTTATATGAAGGAGGAGCCAATAATGTGTTTAGTTGTGTTATTACACACAAACTTACAAATTCATGTCCCATTAAAGTGAGAAAATGGCCTCTTTAATTAAACTGAACCCCCAAGTTGCGCCGCTTTGCGACGGTGCAAGATACATCCTTTACCACAAAGTACACTTTTGTAATTAATAAACGTAAACATTAAATTGAATACTGTGTAGCACGGAATACCATTTGCATTACAAACTCAAGTTTGCCAAGATGCATTTACATTATCGTACAAAACACATTACTGCATTGCACAACACCACATTTTTCGTAAAATTATACTGTACGTACATTGACATCTATAGAATAATCTTAAGATTTATCTGAATTTATGAAAATTACAACAACAAAAAAACACTTCACATAATTTGTATCCTTTGACTAAAATTGTTTAAACCATGTAAATATGGAAATGTTTATTTAGGGTTTATTGCTTTTCATCTTATGTGATAAAAAATTTCATCTGAATCACATTTCCACTACGCCTTAACGCAGCACAAAGCTCACATGAGCACACTACGGTCAGCGCTGATATAATGGCGATGCAGTTTTATTACCAATATCTCGAGTACTTGAAATGCCTCATGGATTTAGAGGGAAAGACTCCATAATAAAAGGTCTTCTTCGGGTTAGATTGCGTTAATATGCGTGTGTCGTTAACCCACCACCACACGACACAGCCAATTAATGAGTTTTGTCACGCAAACAAAACGTGCCAATTAGTTACCGCTTCAGCACAACGTTGTGTTGGGAGAGTAAATCCACACGATTTTGAGTACAATTCTAATTTGAGTACGGTACATCCACACGTGTAAAAATGTTGTGGATTTACTCTTCAACACACCGGGATGTGCTGAAGTGGTCACAAATTGGCACGTTTTGTTTACGCGACAAACCATATCGGCAAATGTCGGGTGGTGGTGGTGGGTGAACCGACACATTTAGATTTACCGCACCTCCCAATACAGCGAGTGCATCTTAAGGCATCCTCAAAGCAGACAACCCCTGACGGCAGCCGTCCCTGCGACGCTCAAGGTGAACGCAGCACCGACCAAACAAAATCCCATCTACACAGATAAATAACTTCCACCGCCGTTAACAACGGCGTTTAAATGCCACCCCCACCCACCCCGGTCCACGTGCTCGCAACGCACGCGTGCAAGTCGCAGCTCGAACCCGGACCCAGTGTTCAGCGACAAACTCCTGCAAACAAAGGCGGCACGCCTGTTTGGTTTGCAGATACGCGTGCCGCTCTTTGCTGCCATTTAAAACGAACCATCCAAAAGGCCACAAAACTCACGTCCGTGGCCCCAGCTGCACGCGAAGAGGTCGCGTTGACGTCACTGGAGGCCGTGCTCATGACTACCTCTTCTTCGCTGCGTGTTGGGGAGGAGGAGGAGGGGGGGATGGTCGTCTTCTTTTTGCACAGGGCGCACTGGCGTCTCACGTGTGTCGTGCAGTTCGGTGCTGATATGATGGCACCGACAACCGTGTGCCGTCTTTCTGTGCTGGCACAGAGAGAGAGGGTGGGGCACGTGCCTTGTGCTCGCATGTAATTGGGACACGTGCCCCCGTCTAAATAAGCAGACGAGAAACCGCCCTCTGTTGCAGGTGCTGTCGGCACAGGTGCTTCATCTTCAGGTGATTTGGTTCGTGCTCTTATCTACAGAGGTGCCCCCATTCTGTACAAATTACGTTCGAGCAGTCGCTCCATGTTATTCCACCGTTACGGTTGAACATAATGCTGTGCCAACACAGGTGGAGTTTTGCAGGTGCTTTATTTACAGGGAAATATTTCAGTCGATTATTTATGACACTTCACTTGGAATTGCTTTAGTGATATATCTTTGTTTACTTGATATTGCAAACCTCTGTTTATTTTTTTCTGTACCTTAGATTTGTAACTTGTGCTATGATGACTCTGGAAGTAACCTACCAGATACGATTTGCGCTGCAGGGATTTTATATTTAGCTTTGGTATTTAACGTTCATTTCTAGTTGAATTATTTTCAAACCCTTGTGTGTTTTGTTCCGATTGCTTTTACGTCTTCTTTGCTTTGTTCTGGCTTTTGTCCTTTTGGTGACCCAGGTCACCCTTGCAAATTAGATTCAACCTGGTCTCTTTGGGTTCTCACCTGGTTAAATAAAATACTGCATACTGGAACTTAATTGTCCACGAGTGTAATTACACATAAAATACATAAATACAAGCACAGGTGTATACACACATTCAGTGATTCACATATATACGCACCATTCTAGCCATACACACCTAGTGCTTAATTCACCTGGCTCTCCACATGAAAGATATACGCAACACATTTTATTCAATACGATTTCTCCTGAATAATAAATTAAGTACTTTGGTGTGCATGAACAGATTACAAGTGTTCACCACCTTCTGTAAGTACCATTGCCTTATGACTGTAAAATACAAAGCAAACAAGTTTGGGCAAATCTGCCTTTTTATTGACAAGTGAGACGTTTTATCGATAGCAAGGTCCAGGTCATTGGTTTGAAATTTCACCGTTCGGGTAGGCTTAAGTATACCGTATAGGGGGTGGAACAAACATTAAATACACAGCCCTCTACTGTGTCCTTGCAGCATCTTGAGATGCGGTCATTTAAATACAGTGCATCCAAATTGTATTGCAATGCAAAAACACAACACTTAAATACTTCAACGTCAAATTAAAACTTACAATGGATTTAAACACTCGCAATTCAGTGATTTAACAAAATACCAAACGGTACACCACGTGCTCCAGATGCAGGGCACTCTGGAGTGAGGCCCTTCACCTCACACCCCCCGCCAGATTCCACCCCTCAGCTGGCACATTGAAGGTGCCAGGTGCAGCGGATTTGTATCTGCCAATTACAATAAAGCCAGCATAGTCGATTGTTATGAAGGGTGGCTTCGGTCCTGCAATCCATGCTCACCCTGGCTAGCCTTGCAATGAGAACCGACTGCAAGAATGAAGCCTTGCTTGACCGGTGTATTGAATTGGTAAGAGCATGGCCCCTGCAATATTGCCACGAAATGTAAATGTATGTAATTGTACACAACCTTTCACTAATGGAGATGCTCCACAGGCTAACACTGCTGTAAGAAAAGCACGCACAACTGACTTTCCATGGTATAGGGGTCCTTCTATAGTCCAGTGATTCCTTAACTTTCTGGACCATTAATAACTTACCTTGAATTTACTAATTTAAATAATTGTTCAATGAAAGTAAATGAAATACATGGTGTTTTTTTTTAAAGATAAAGGTATCTGCAAAAGTTCTGCAGACCACTTCCTACAGCCTTGCGGATTGTGAGTGGTCCATGGTCCAGAGGTTTGGGAACCGCTCTTCTATACAATTCTAGTTTTAAAAGTGTTATTTAAAGAGGGACTTTAACTAATGCGCACCAATCTCAGAAAATACGTAATCAATTGTACATATAACTTAAGTATGCAGGTTTGATAACTCAAAATGCTGTCCTATTTTGCACTTTTAAACAAGTGTCCGTTATATTTTTTAAGCCACAACAAATTGATATGACTACATCAGTGTATAAAAACTTAAACAAACATAAATGTAAACTGTATTTATGTAATATATTTAACAAACGTGAATATAACCAGATAAACCTGTGCAATGGCACAATGAACATTTTCATTATTTGTCCTATACATGTTGCTATGCAGTACAAATCACCCAACGTTACAAAATGTTCTTAACTGTTACTGACATCACACATGGGCAGGCGTGTGCACAGCACACAACGGGTCTGACATTCAGCAAATGATGGGAACATCGTGTCAGGACAGAACATTTATAGCCACAAGCTGCCACGTCCAGATCCTCTACAGAATAACAGGGGACTGGAATTTTCCCAGTTTCGGCAGCTGATCCCCATGTGGGCGTCTCCTTGTTGGACCTTGTTGGGCCTCTGAAGTTGTCTGCTGCCGATGTTGCTGCTGCGTCGTCACGCCATGTGCTCTGCTGTGAATGACAAAACAATGGTTAATTTCTGTGCTGCAAGGCCATCGTGATGGATATGAATTTGTGCGTGTCATTTACGTTACATGAGTATGGAAATATTCACTGGAAATTGGGGAGAGTTTAACCCAGTCATGGACTTAGTTGATTATTATTTTGAGGTAAGGCATTTTAAAAACATAATTTCTCATGTAGAATGAGTCAAAGTAAATATCCATCTTTGTTCCTTGTGATGTTATAGATGTATAAATGAGAGTAATCAATGCCACATGTCTAACATTTGTAACAATGCTTCATACCACTGGTATGTTTGAGTGAGGGTAGAAACCTCCAGTGGACAATACAGATGCTGCAACTACATCTGTCCAGCTGCAAGTCTCCGAATATTTACCGGCTCTCAGACACATGATCCAACTCTAGGTTCAGTGCAGGTGCTGGAGACAAAGCAATCTCTAGCCATGAGCTCTGCATTATAAGCTGTCGTAGGGCAGGAACAAGCCAGCAGGCAGTGTGTCTGCAATAGAGCTGTGAGCGTTCTCACCGTGGCAGAGCCCCCGCTGGCAGCTGAGGGAGCCATGTCCCTCCAGAGTCGGTTGGTTCATGATCCACTTCTTGAGAAGGCCGCCCTTTTCTACAGCAAAGAGGAAAAAAATATGGTCCAAGTGTAAGTATTTCATTACTTTTGTAAAGAAAAACATATGATTGCTAATAAGGTATGATAGCAAGTAAGCTGTTTACCTATCTATGGATATAAGTTTTTCTATGTTAGCCCCTTGTATGCTTGGCTTTCCTCCAGGCTCTCAGTATTTCACACACACACACTCAATAACTGGCTAATCATAGCTAGGAGTTGAGACTTTCCTGGGTAAAGCCCAGAGGATATTCATAACTTTTCATATAACTTCATGAAAATATAATATTGAGCCCTTGTTCATCCACTGCTGGATGAAGTCCTCCACACACTGTGTAAGTCAGGGAAGTAATTTGACCATATTTCACGATCGTGGTCAGTGCACATTGTTGAAAGGAGTGCCCAGAACCAGTTAAGATATCACTATTCACTGATGTTAGCCATGGACAGGAATTAGTTTGCCGGGTTCATTGCACAATAAAATAAACATCACACCACCCCTTTCACCCGTGTAAACTTATCAAATGTCAATTAGATGACACTATATTACAAGCATCTTTTATTGGGTCAACAAGCATAAGTAAGTAAGACTGCAGCTCATAAAGCGCTGATCTAAAGGAACTATTTAGGCATATATTAATGGTATACGAGTGGCAACATCACATCTGCATTGCGTACCGTTTGAAACGTTCAAGGTCATGTGGTCCTGTTGCTGGTTTCACCTTCTTTTGCCTTGTCGAAATGTCCAACGTCTTTCCCCAACAGCCAACCATGACAGAGAAAGAACAAGACGCAGGCATGCGTTGGCACCACCTCGCATTTCCAATAAGTTCACAATCACCTCTGGCTATTGCCACTAATGTAGAAAGTGAATTAACTTAAACTGGTACTGTATTGAACACATGCACGCACTTACCTCGCCCAACTGGTTGAGTACTTCTCTCTTTTCATTTATTACCTTGTGGTATGCCTAGGACATAATATAAGCAGATTGTAACGGACAACATTACATTTTACCCGACACCGTCATTCTGTTAAGAATCTTGTGACAACATAATACTGACGTCAGTTTACAAGTGTTGTTTTGCCTCAAAATATTTGCAAAAGTGAAGCACTGTTATTAGCTGTCATCAATTGAGACATGATATAAATTTCAAATATTTATTTCATTCACTTGCAGAGCATGCCACTTGTGTGTATTTGGTATTCAGGGAATTTGTGTTTTTTCCTACCTACAATCAACATGGGGGCATCTTCAAGATCAATTAAACTCTTCGAGTAATTTTAATTACACAGTTAAACCATCATTGACGAGCTGTTTTGTATAATAATTCGACCCTTGATATGCAATTTAATTTTAAATCTAGATTGTAAACTAATTTCTTTAGAACTAATATTTGTGTTTAGTTTTTTTGTCCTTCCCCCGCAACATACGTAGGTGAAAAACCTAACGGACACGTAACAGTCCTGAACCACTGAAAAGGAATCGGCATAATATCGCATTCATCAGAGAGCAATATAAAATAATTTGTCCCTCTTGTGTAACCCCTTGTACATGGTCTTTTACCTTTGCCTCCTGTGCAATGCGCCACTCATAATCCACTAGCGTCTCTTGCAGACTCTGCCGCTCCTCCTCCTTCTTCCAAAGCAGCTGCTTCAGGCTTTCCTGATTGTCAAGACAGCAAAGTTGTCACATCAGCACAGCATTAAACCTCTTAAAATGTACTCAACACAGCACTTGCGTCAGCAGTTTATACCAATGCAATCTACTGCTAGTATAAGATGAAAATATCTCAATAACGCACATCAACTACTATTTACAGTCTACATACAATATTATCTATGTCAACAAATGTATAACTAACATGGATGGAAAATCCAATAATGTACAATACTGCAACCTATAAAACCACGTCATAAAGATGTATCCATTTGCAAAGAACAAGTATAGGTGACAAGTTCAACAATTTTAGAATACAGTACATCATTATTTACAGCTGCTACTTCATATCTGCTGTTGTGTGTAGAGATGAGGCAGTGTTGCTACAGTGCCCTCTATTTGACAGCAAGTCAAACTGAATAAGCAGAGAAGTCACACTTACTTTCGACTGCTGATTATATCCCTGCATGACATTCATCCTCTCTGCAACAACATACATTTTTCATTTTAAACCAGCAATGGGGCCATACCACAAGAATGTTCAATCCCTGCCGTTTATATAAATTGTACATTAAGAAGAGTTTTTTTTAACAGCATCCAGTTAGAAGCACGCTCGTGTACATTACCCGCTGGTTGCAGGGTATACTCACATTTTTCTCATCCATCCCTAGACAATCCCACTGAACTTAGCCCACCAACTCTAAAATTATTTCCAACACCCCCCTTACCTCACCCAAGACTGTAATCAAATTCAGAAACTCAAGACAATCCATTAAATGTTTTACTCATTGCTAAGGATGTCACACTGCACTTTGAGAGTCAGAGAAATCTGTTTTCACTCTAGTCAGCAGAGGACTGTGTTCGTTTCAATTACTGTACTTGAATAGGCAAAGGTCAAAATGTCTAATCCCATTAATGCCACAACACTGGTCTTGCAGGATCCTGAACATCGTACAAGTACCAAAGGGAGATGGAACCTTGGGTAATCATTGCACTAACAGAGATCGATGAGCCTTCAGTAGTGTGCTTTACCACCACACCACAACATGATAACTGCTTTTTGTGTTTAGTTTATTGTCCTTCCCCGGAACTTCCGATTAGCACGGTTGGCTACGTACGGTGCGAAAGCAGTTTAACGTAATACAGTCCATACATACATGACCAGACCAAAACCAATTTTATTTTACCAAGTAAGGCCCACTGAGCTATATAGCTTTTTTTTAGAAGCGATCTGGCCACAAATGATAGCTCAACAAAGAGACTTATCTTTATCACATGGAAATTTATAGCAGGAAAATACTCTAAAATGTTTTTTTCTTAATATGGAGGGAAAAACCGGAAGACCCGGAGAAGAATCTATGCGACCACGGGGCGAGTGACATGTAAACTTCCAATTTACAGGCGTCAGGGTTCGGATCGAACCCACCGACCTCCTGTTATCCAGGCGAGAGAATTAACATCTCGCCACCGAGACACATGGGAGAAATGCGTATTGAGCCACGGTGGCCTGGCAGCACCTCTCAGGGTGTCGCGGCCCTCCTTCACTTTCGTCCTCATCTCTTCCAGCTGCAGCCTCAGCCGCTCGTTGAGCTCTCGCTGCGTCTCGTACCGTGTCCGCCACTCACACCCTGCCGGGAATTGTCTCACATCAGTGTCTGCCGTGGAAAGGCTTGCGGCTCAAGGCAGCTGTGCTTGGATATTTTGAGAGATGATGGAGGGTTAAATGTGTCCCACTCCACTAAGTGATCTATTGTACATTCTTAATGCGTGGATCCATCGTACATAATAAGACATTTGTAACATAGGATATACATCTAACAGCATGGAGGGCACACACTAGAAAATTCTGTTTACAGTACATGTGGGTTCGAATCCAGGTAGCAGCCCATGAGTAAGCAAGGTTCTCAAGTGTATCGAGTTAATGGGTACAGTAACTACACATAAATATATTTAATTTTTAATTTGCACACACTGTAATTTGGTTAAATTCCAGCTCGATTGGGCTGTCATTCGACAAGCTCATGGATTGTGGAAAAGTGCGCCACCTCCTGTGGAAAGGATACAAGGTCTACTTAAAGGATTCTTCATAAGTACTCCAGGATATAATAACGCGTTTTGATATATATTGTTTTCTCCCCAGAATGAACTGTTATGTATAACAGCACAATTTTAAAAAATTTAGAAAACGGCCATTATATAAACATTTAACGTTTGACTTTTACTTTATAGCATGAAATGTATAGAATTATATAGTATCCACCAGCAATTGACGACCCCAAATAAATATAAATTTTCAAGTTAATTTTGTTAAGCCAGATGAGAACTCAAGAGACCAGGATATACAGTAGTTTCAGTTGCAAAAGTTATTTGGGGAATTAGTCTGCCAGTATGGGGCGATGGTTGCTATGTGTAATCCCTGTTGATTAATTTGCAGTGTCATTTTTTTACTTGCCAAATTTAGACCCTGTATGTATGTTGAACTTCTTTTACATGGTACATAGCCAACCGTGCTAATCGGCACACGATGGCCTGATGTCAAGGATTTCTTAAGGTCCAAAGACTGCCTCACTGTTCATGGAGACAAACAAAGATTCTGATTCTGAATTCAATATTCACCTTCCTCCTCCACCTGTCCCAGCCTCTTCTCCATCTCAATGGCCGTCTTTTGCAACTCCTTAATGGAAATCTCCAACATCATCCTGACCACACACGCACGCATACGGACAGACAAATGGAAAACAAAACATTTACTGCTTTTTGTGTTTAGTTTGTTGTCCTTCCCCTGCACCTCCGATTAGCATGGTTGCCTACGTACGGTGCGAACGATGTTCAACATATGTACAACAAATTCATCCGAGTGGAGTCATTGTTCAACAGCAACGCTTATGGTGAGCGTGCATGGAAGTGATGCTTAGAGAAGGGATTGTACAAACATCCATAATACAGGTCTTTTAGTGGGTTAGATCGCGTAAATATGTGTCGTTAAACCCGCCACTACCCGACACATCCAATTAGTAAGGTTTGTCATGTAAACAGAACATGAAAATTCGTTACTAGTACAGCACACCGGTGTGTTGGAGAGCATAGCCACAACATTTACAATCTGAGTACGACGTTTCGCCAGTCATTACAACTAGCTTCGTCAGGCGACATTGTACAAACAAAACGTTCCCAATGTCTTTCAGACCACCGATGTCCACTGACAAAAGGACAGCGTTACACTTTTAAACTTAGTTGGAAGGTATTTTTAAATGTTTAGGTCGCTTCTGAAAAATAAGTTAACGCTTCTGAAAAATAAGTTAATAGCTCAGTGGGCTTTACCTGGAAAGATAATTTATTTGTATTTGATATATTTTTAAAAGTGATTTGTTTACCTTCCCGAAACTTTGCACTCCTGTCGTGTTTGTGTATTGTTTGTTGTTGTAACGTTCTGACCCGCCCCTACTGGACATCTGTGAAAAAGAGCTTTATAGCTCATCGGATTCCAACAGTATCAATAACTATTACGTCTAGTAATAGGTGTTCCCCTTTTTTCTGTCAACAAAACTGAAACTTTTTCACGAGGCATCATGTCTGCATTAACCACAATATTTGTGGTCAGAATGCAAACAAAAACACACACACTGATAATGCAGACATGATGCCTTATATAAAAAAAATCAGTTTTGTTGCCAGAAAAAAGGGGAAAACCTATTCTTATATTTTGGTACTGGCATGATGTAGATGCTCAACCCGAGCTCTCATTACTCTGATAGTGCCATTGTCTTTGTGCTGTTCGCCTTTTGGCGTCCTCTGGTCTAACACTGTTTGAGACTAGGCTCGAAAGAAAACTGTCTCTGGTGTGGACCAATCAGTTTCAAAGACAATGCATATATTCATATTCTTAGCTCTTTCGGTAAAGTCACGTTGAAGGGAAACAATATATATTATTATTTTATTGTTTCCCTTCAACGTGACTTTACCGAAAGAGCTAAGAATATGAATTACTGCAGTCACGAAAGCTTTAAATCAAAATTTAATGCATATATTATCAGTGTTTTTTTGTTTGCATTCTGACCACAGGTATTGTGTATAATGCAGACATGATGCCTTGTAAAAAGGTTTCAGTTTTGTTTCCAGAGAAAAAAAAGGGGAAAACGTATTCTTATATATATTTACGTCTGTTCGAACGTGAATCGATTCCTACAATTCGTTTTAGATTCCAACTCCATAAGAAAACGTTGAACGGAATCGATACCATTAATCGCTAACTTGCGAATTCGATTCGTGCAGCTGATGACGACTAACATCGCGATACTGAAATTGCTTCTGGTCCAGAACCGAATCCGTCGCCCTTTATTCGCCCCCACCCCGGCCCCAACGACGCCTCGCAAGCCCTCGGGGCTCGCCGCGGACTCACGACTCACTTCATCTGCCGCTGCTGCGCGATCTCGGCCCCGAGACTCTTCCGCTCCTCCTCGGGCTCCGATCCCGACGCCTCCATTCTCGCCCTCCTCGCTTCCGGCTTCCCGCGTCTCCATGGCGACCCACGTCACGCGGCCATGCACCTCCCCCCGCGCTGCCGCGCATGCGCACTTAGCGACGGACGCCATTATGTTACTCGTTCCCGCCAATTTGTTTTCGTACACAAACCTCTCCCTCCCCCTTCCTATCGCTCATCCAATACGTGAAGTTTTTTGTTCTTATTCTATCGCGCTAATTCGTTTCTTTACGCGGTTTTCGTTGAGTCGTTTGCATCGTTACGAAACGCGCTATGGACGAAAGCTCGACACCCAAGTACAAAAAGGATTACCAGCGGATTCAGGAGCTCTTGGGTCAGCGCATTGTCAATGTATTATAGTTCAGTTCTGTTTTGACATACAACTTTCGTGACTGCAGGAAGTTATGTTCTTGGTTCTTTCGGCAAAGTCGCGTAGAATAAAAAAAATAATGAATGAAAAATAAAAGCAAAAAACCACGACGTTTCGATCGCAACACAAGCGGTCTTCATCAGGCGGAGAGAAAAGAGGGGGCAAGTCTCCAAATGCAACTGCTTATAAGGGCTTTCAAAGTGCACAGCTTTGCTCCACTTTGAAAGTAATTCCTGCAGTCACGAAATCTTCAAATCAAGTTTGAAAGCCCTTATAAGCAGTTGTATTTGGAGGCTTTCCCCCTCTTTGTTTCTCCGCCTGATGAAGACCGCTTGTGTTGCGATCGAAACGTTGTTTTTTGCGTTTATTTGTAATTTATTTCATTTTTATTTTCTATCTATCTACAAGAACATCGTTCAGTTCTGTGTTTATTATGATTAAAGTTACTACACTTTTGTGCTTGGCTTTCCTCGAGCCCGACACTTGTAAGCTGAACACACTGCGAAGGGTGCAAATCACAGACCGGAAATTTATGCGGGTCGATAAAACCAAGTACCATTTCGTGGAAAGTGAAACTACAGCGATTGTCTGGATAAGTATTGTTACATGTACTGGTCTCGCCATGGTAATGCCGTATTACTTTTCCTGCGAGATTATGGCCGCAGGCTCCTTTCAGAAGACAACGCGTTGATTTGTGTCTGGATCGGTACTAGCCGGTCTGTTGGAAAAGGAAGGACATTTAAAGTACATTGACAAACCCCTAATTTAAGTCGTTATATTTAACGTAAGTTCAGTGGCGGCACTCGAGGCCTATATTTGAAGCGTTTGTTATCGTGAAAGAAACTTCAAGCTGGTGTCTGACCGCGAAACTAGGCTTAAGTTCATTTAGTTTAACCGGGTAAGAACGCCACATAGAATACCAGAACAATCTCATTTGCGAAAGTGACCTGGGTCACCAATATACCATACCGTAGGTTCATATTAGGGCTGAACGATTTGGGGAAAATATCCAATTGCAATTTTTCTGACATTTCGATTTGATTTGCGATACAAAATTAAGTCAAGCTTCAGTTCAATATTCACTGTGTAATAGATTTTAAACATCTATTACGCAGCTCCTGCACGTGAGCTGACTTTCGTTGCTCCATCTGGGTCGTCATTCACGAGGTTTGCAAAACGAGTTACAAAGAAGCAGGTTGTGTAAATGTTGCTCAAGGGCCTTCTGCCCCTTTGTGTTCCGTATCACAGTGACGCTTAAAGAAGAAGCAATGGAGATCCAGAAGCATCACCAGGCGATTTTGCAGTACCACTCTTCTCTGAAGGAGCTCAATACTAGCTTCCTAGAGGTAAGAGTATGTAATGTCATGCGTGTATTAAATGGTGTTTACATGTGCATGGACACGCACATTAAGTTGAAATTGTGGCGTCAGACCACTAAAGCAATTTTGAGTCGGTCTAACCAAATTCTGGGTGAAGGCCTTCTGTTGTTATTCCCCATCATGGTCTGTAGATGTACCGTATAGTATGTAGCCAAAAGCAACTGTGCTAGATGTAGTGTTTGTAACGCGGCGCTGCACGTGTGTTCTTCTGCAGACGCAGCAAAGGTTGGCGAGAGTGGCTGCCGTTCGCCCCAAAAGCTCCAACCAATACAGCTTTGCGTAGCATGGCTGGCTGTCAGAAACCAGTCCATCCATGTTGCAGAGTTCAGCAATGATGCTTAAGCCGTATTTCAAGGCTCTATCTCGGGTGCATGGAACAACATTTTAAGTTAAGATAGCCAAGGGGTGTATTAATAAGACTTGAAGGGGCACCTCTCATAGCATACCATTTCAAAAGATGACAGTTGTACCCATTGGCTCCTTTTTGCTACCTCCATGCCAAGTGTGTTTTAATGTCTTCGTTGGGTTTGCTGACACAAATGTACACACTTCAGGATTTAAATAAGAAACGGAAAAAAACTAAGTTCTTTTAAATGTGTACATAGGTGTATATTTCAGAAATTAGGCTTCAAATTCTGGCCACTGTATGCTATATTGGCATCGCTGTAATGATGCACCTACTTGAGTAGCAGTGACATTACGAGTACAATGATGATGCACTTGACCGAGTGTTTATTCTCACTAATAAAGCTTTATATGTGTTACACAGCAGAATTTACAGGACTGTATCTAAAAGCTACACGTTTTTTAGGCTGTATCTTAATAGTAGTTTCCAGACCATTTATACTGGTTATATATCAGAATCTTTATTTAGACTGGAGGAATCCGATAAGCTATGATGCTATTTTTTTTCAGACGTCCAGTATTGTACAAAAAGAACATTCTGATAGGCTGGAGACCACGTGCCATTTGGACAATTAGCATATGTATAAAATCCCAACCCCTAAACCCTATTTGAAAATTACAGAACTGGCATTCTTTAATTTTATCAGCGGAATGCAAAATAAGCTAAATTTGGAAAGGACTACTAAGTGATGAACCAAGGAAAGTCTGACTGGAAGGTTGGATTCAAATCTGTGGGAAGTGCCAGACTCATCTTTTCCTTAATCTGCAGGGACAAGACTCCCTAAATATGGCAGTGCTAGAAGGTGTTGTAGACTAATTCTGTATTTAGAAATGTATGCAATTAATGAATGATAAATATATTATCGTTCTGTATGCTGTTGTATAATGGTGGTTATTGCACTTGCTTTAAAAAAAATAAAAATGTTACATTGGAATCAAGTTACTGTGAATATTAAGTGCCTGTATGTATTTTAATGGAGGTGGGTTTGTCTTGCATATACACGAAACCTATGGTAGGAAATATTTTCAGTATCCTTCAAAGTCCTTCCTTGCACCACAGTAGTTGGTCCAGGATGTGTAGTTCATTAATATACATAACTAACCTTGTTTACAATGAAAGACTGACAATTTAAAACATCCCAAAATACTGTAGGTTACCATTACTGATTGGTCATATTGATCAGTAAGCATTCCATTTGTTGTATCACCTTTATTTAGGATTCAGTACAATATACGACAACCATCTTTTCGAGATGATTTCTTTACAAGGCAAAATTTACAATGTGGTTAAATGGCAACACACGTCTTTGTCAACTTGTCTTTCATTAGAACTTGTGTAAGTGACTTTGAATGTGCTGCACATACAGGCAGATTGTAAATCTGCACGCTTCAATATCCAAGTGCCTGTGTATTCACACCAGGTGTCTGTCAGTGTGTGCATGCATGTCTGCCCTTGAACTCTGAAACGATTCCATACTCTTAATGGGATGCCTTGGGTGAGGGGGCAATAGCTTGTGCGTCTACTTCAGCCTGCGTTAGCGCTGGCCCAATGAAACGCCAGCCCTCCCGGTGGCCGACCTTTGCGAGCACGCCCAGAGATCCCAATGTAACGCAGCCCATAGACGCCACGCTGAAACTGTGGGCTGCAACAACACAACAGAAAACGTCTTTTGCACGAAATAGGTTCACATAAATATCGCAAAACATTTAATAAAATACACAGGGATGACTGCAAATACAAAGGGAAAATGGACACATTTGATTGGTGTACCCAGTGCCATGCCTCATGCTCTCAGGACTTGCACCCATCCACAAACTCACCTCGGGCGCCCAAAGCCAGGCCAGCGCTGCAGCCTCCGACAAAGTGATTGAAAGCGTTGTCAGGCTCGTTCAGGACCTGAGCGCTGAGGCACGTGCCGACGCTGAAGATGGCACCAAGGGCGGCTGAGTATACAAACACGCACCACAGTACATACTATGCATCTCGTGCTTAACCTAATTAAGAGTCGGCATCTGACACGAGATCTGATTCTTGTATTTTGTCATTTTTTCTTATTTTCTCAATTAGCCTTATATCACAGCATAACATTCACATTTCACTTGTATAAATAAAACAAGCAGTTCATGCACAATTTAGTGCAACGTATCAATAATGTAAGAATTTACTTTAAAGGGTATTTTGTTAACACCTTATATTTATGTTCATTCAAATACCCCACATGACCTGCTACATAACTCCGCATGACAAACCAAGCTCGTGTGCTAAAGACTCATAATAAAGACTGGTTGACTGTGGCATATGAGGTAAGGGAGTAACTGAGGGAAAACGTCTTTGTACGTTTTATATGCAATCACAATCAGACGGTATCATGCATGGTGTGCGCACGAACCTATCCCGGCGGTTCCTGCCCCAAACCGCATCAGTGAACCCGCCGTGGTCGTGGACTCGAAAGCGGAGAGGTAATACGCTGTGCCAAGCGCACCTGGAAGACATTCACATTTCACACTTGACTGAATGGAACATTACGACAAAAGTTAAGCGATATCACAACTTCGTTCTATCCATTCAATTGTACAGTACACAAACTTGGGCACTTCCAAGAAGAACAGTGGAAGTAGCTAAAATATATACTAATAAATAATGGAATTGATCTGGAGCTTTTGAAGGAATACGGACATTAAAATAAAAATAGTGATTTTTTTGGACAGAAGATTGTCTGGAACTGGGAATCCCACTCCCACAAGCGGATTGGCTTAGAGCCCGTGCCAAGCGAAGTCGGAAGTTGGCCATGAGCGGGCTGTGAGCGCACACCGACCTGTTTGTGTCGCCAAGGCATAAAGTCAACATCAACAGTGAAATAAGCAGTATGTCAAGCCCGATGATCAAATGTGTTTTCTGTTAATGTCAATATTCATTCGCAATCGTCAGTCTCAGTGGAAGTGTGACTGAATTTTAAATGTTATTGTCCTTTCACCAAGTCCTAATCTGTTTATCTCTGCGGGAAGTCACGAACCAGTCATCACAATTCCACACTCATATAGAGGTCACCAATTATAACCAATGCCGACTTCCCACTAAGTGGTGCGATATCATGTATTTCTTATTGTATAGACTCCATAAAGTTGACAATTGCCTCAAGACACTAAATTGACCCAGGGTGGGTTAATTAAATCGACAACTCAAGAGTGGCAGTCCTGTTACTTCAATGAGCCACATACCGGGAATAGAAACGTTAAGCTACGACTAAAATTTATACAACAATGTTTAAACAAAAGGCCGGTGGCACTGGCAAATGAACGATCGACTCACAATCGGAAGAGTAAAAGTTAACATTTTGTTGGAAGCGGCTCATCATCTCTCTGTGTTCAGTGAAATGCCACGCCATCGTGTAGTAAGTAATGAGTGGCTGTCCTGTGGAATGGACTGTCCTAGGCCATAGGAATGTCACTTCCAAAGTAGCATCACCAACGGAGATGATCGTTGCCCCGGCCGTTGGGCGTGGAGACACTTTGATTTTCAGTTTCTCCGAAAAAATACAGTATACAATCTCAAGCTATTGCCCCAGCAAATGGAATAAAACAAATCACCATCTGTTATTAACAGTCTTGCAATTAAAACATTGCAAACTAATGTTTGAATTAATGGCTCTCTTCACAATGAAGTGGACAAAATAGTTGTCTTGCAGCTGGAGCCTGCACATGACAAAGTTAACATTGGGAAACATTTTGACACGAACAACAACACGATTCCATGAAGAGCAGCGGACAGGGTTATAAGGGGTTGCCTTCTGCAAAGGGTTAGTAGATGTGACCCGTTGCAGAGAACCTTTAAAACGCGCACACATCAAACAGCTCATTTACATGTAGTGCCTAAGGTTGAGTATCCTGGCCCTGTCCGTTACGGGCTTGACATTTCGTGAATAATCAAACAAATACTACCGAGTTGTCATTGCCCGGCGAGCTCTACTGGATCCCTGTGCGAGCCCACGAGTATGTGAGACCATGGGGTTCTCTGCGCGAGTGCACGGGCATCTATGCAAGTCTGTTGTTTTCTGCGAGTCTTGAGTATCTAGGCAAGTCAATGGGTCCACTCACTGTTGTCTTTGGTTTCTGTGCGAGTCTACGTGTCTTCTAAGTTCCGCGTACGGACAGCTGCCCCGCTGGGGATTCCCTCTGCTTGACTGCCCCGTCAGGACAATGGCATGGTTTGAGAATTTAAAAAAAAATGCACGCAAGAGCAGGGAATGAGAAGGGGGCCCTCCCTCCATCATCACAAACGCGGTCACTGGGACGGACCCCAAGGGCGCCCCGCGGCCTCCTTCAGCCGCGCCGACCACTCACCCGCGATGGCGCCCATTTTCGTCGCCTCCACGGTCTTCTGCAGAGGGTCGGCGTTGTCCGCCTTATCCCAGAACCCCATCGTCGATCGGTCTCCAGCCGCCGCCGCTGCTGGGTTTTTTTGTTGTTGCCGCGGAGAAGCGAAGGGAGGTGTGGTGGTGGTGTGGGGGGGTGGGAGTCGAGTCGAGACGCCTTCGCTTGCGAGCGGCGGAGCTCGGTCCGGGCACTCTCGCACTAAGGTCAAGGCGCCTCGCAGCAAGCCGCGCCGCGATTGGTCCAAGCCGGAGCCCGGTTTACCGCTCACACCCATTGGTCGGGCGCGTGCGGCACCTTGTGGGGGCGTGGGTGGGCGTTATTCTACATTTGAAGTTTTCGTGACTGCAAGGATTCATACACTCTTTGGTTCTTTAGGTACAGTCACGTAGGTGAAAAAATATAAATTAAAAAGAGCGTGGGTGGTGTTTTCCCTCTCCTACCTCCTCTCCTACCTCCTCTCCTACCTCCTCTCCTACCTCCTCTCCTACCTCCTCTCCTACCTCCTCTCCTACCTCCTCTCCTACCTCCTCTCCTACCTCCTCTCCTACCTCCTCTCCTACCTCCTCTCCTACCTCCTCTCCTACCTCCTCTCCTACCTCCTCCCACCTCCTCCCACCCCCCCTCTCACCTCCTCCCACCCACCTCCCCCTCTCACCTCCCACCCCCCTACCTCCCCCCCTCCCACCTCCTCCCACCCTCCCTTCCACCTCCTCCCACCCCCCCCGCCCACCTCCTCCCCCCTCCCACCTCCCACCCCCCTCCCACCTCCTCCCCCTCCCCTCCACCACCCCCTTCCTCTGCCCCCTCTTCTTACCCTCTCCTCTCCGCTCCTCCCCTACTCCCCCCCTCCTCCTTCCCTTCTCCTCCCCCCCTCACCCCCTCCTCCTCTCCCCCCTCCGCCCCTCCCCCCTCTGCCTTCTCCCCCCCCCTCATCCCCCCCCCCCGCTGACCTCCACCCCCTCCTCTCTCCCCTCCTCTTCCCCCTCCCCTTGCAGTATTATTCCGTGACGCGATTGGTTATAAAAGCCCCCCCCTACGCCTCCGTCCCCCCCCCCGCGGTGGCGCTCCTGTGATTGGATAAAGGAGGTGAGTTGGGATTGGGCCAATAAGAGTGCAAGTCACTGGCGACTGGGAGAGGCGTGGATGAGGCGTGGGGGTGGGTGACTGTTGTGACCTCCTTGCCGCGCCGTGGGCCCCCTCTAGGTCGACTCGGCCGTCGCCACCGCGAGGGGAGTCAAGGAGTTGGTGGTGGTGGTGGTGATTGAGACCACCTCGGGGCACGGTGATAGCAAGAAGAGTTGAGAAGTGTCGGGCGTGTGATGCTGGACTCGCCTGCCCTGCACGCGGACAGCTGGGGCTAGCAGGTGTTCTGCTCAAAGAGATGTTGCTGTCACGGTCGATTTGCGATTGTTGTTGTTGTTGTCGTCGTGTATGTGTGTCGGTGTGCCATGCCTGCCTTCATAGGTACTCGTTAACGGCACTTGCCCCAACAGTCTGTTCAGGCTATACGTGTGCGTGTTTGTGTTATGCGTCTTTGTCACAGGTATGTGTGCATCTGTGTAATACCATGTGTATGTGTGTTTAAGTATGTATACAGTTATATTAAGTATATATATAGATTTACCTCTATGTGTAAGTTTGTGTCAACGTGTTTGCGTGCGTGCGTGCAAGTGAATTTCTGTGTGTAATTGCGTACATGTGTGTGCGTGTCAATATGAGCAGTGTTCATATTTGTCAAATGTCTATGCTGTGTCTATGCATGTCTCCCTGTTCCTGTATGTATGTGTCCTTGTCGGTGTCTTTATTTCGTGCGAGAGTGCTCTCAAAGTGCACATAGCCTGACACGATAACGTTGGTAACAAAGTGGAGAGAATCGTGACTGTTGTGTTTGAGCGCACGGTGTCAGCTGAGTGGTCGGGCGAGTAGCGGTGAGTAAAAGAGAGGCATAGTTTAGCAGGATTTTGACAGTGGTAAAGTTCATTAATAGAGTGGGCAGGAATGAGTGCGTTACGAATGAGCTATTTGAGTTGTAAACAGTAATGGGAGTGGTAACCATTATAACAACATTTTATATGGGGGTCGATCGTCAAGACTTATATGTTGTCGATGTTGGTGACCCAGTTAAGAGCGACATGAGTGATTTTGGGAATGTCTGAGACGCTGCCAGCGAATTACCAATGTGGGTGCTGTCGGGGAACAACGTGTGCCTTGGTGTGGCCTTGACGGGCACAGTTTCAAATGCGGGGCTGTGTTTCATATTCCATCGGTGTAAGAGGTGGCCCCACTCCAGTGCAATGTTTAGATGCAATTCATAGCAGGCCACGTCGTCCTTGGCTAGGTCCAATTCTCCGGGGGGGGTTCTGCGGTGGTGTCAATGATGAGGCCCTTGTTTTGGGACGTTGCCGCTGTCCCAAGGTTGCTCTCCATCGCGACTCGACGTTGAAGTAGGGCGCATTGAGAGAGCCCTTTGCCCTGGTGCCAATAAAGGCTTGCGATATTTCAGGCGGGATAGCGGAGGGTTACACGAATTGTTGGTAGCTTCGAGTCGGTCACGACGGTGTGGAAAGTGCGTGCAAGTTGTGTGCATCTCTTCTGACCTTCGGGAGTGCTATGTGGGCTAAATACACATTCGTTCCATCAACGTTGGTTTCACAGTGCTGGTCACGGTGGGCATGGCTGTGTCGAATTGTGCGTCCACAAGCTGTGTGTGAGAGCTGCTCGACCAAATCCGGTGGACAGTACTCGGCCGTCGAGTATATTGCATGTACTTTATCTGCGCCGATCTTCATCTTTCGTATGGCTGATGTAGAGCAAAAAACTACAATTTCACATTCAGGTGGGCAAGCCAAATAACCGAGTCGGGAGCAGCGGAGTGCATTGCTGTGATGTCTCCTTCGTATTTGTGGATCGGGCATTGGGTCATTAGATGTTGCACGGTCTCTTCTGGATGACCGCAGTCGCACAATGGATAGTTTACATTTTCCATTTGAGCATCAGGTATCCGAATCTGCCATGGTTTGTGAGGATGTGATATAGGGCGGTGGACCATGAACTTTATGGAAGATCAAACCCAGGGATTTTCTGCGTTGGGTCTTTCACATGGTGTTTGTTTGAGAGTTATTTTGAACTCTCTTCAGCTCTCCAAGCTTCATCAGGGTTGAACTTGCATTGTTGCAGTTTAAGCGCATGGGTCCAAAAGGGCTTGCGTGACTTCCAAGCGATGCTATTGAGGTCCTGATGAATGGGAAGGCTACAGTTTTCCTCTGCGCCAATGCTGCCGTTCAAAGCGTGCACACTCCAGGACCCCACGTAGTGGCTTCTAACCTACTTCTGCCCTTTTCGCGTGTCTTTAACATATTATTTTCCGAAGGTCTGATTCCAGTTCAGAGTCCCATCCAGGCAATTTGGATTTTCTTCGTATATCGCCTATTAATTGCAGAATGTGGCATTGAGCGGTTGAGTAGCAGCTTTGTTGTCAAGGTGGAAGACTTCCACGACTGTTTTGGATGGGTTCAGGTGAAGTTTCTAGCGGTGGGAATAATCCACCAAAATGTAGAGGTTCGTAGTTTTGGGGCAGCTGGTGGCTTGTAGTGGCTTGTAGTGGCTTGTAGTGGCTTGTGTGGCGAGTACCATGTCCTCAGCAAAAACTAATTTCCTGTATACGATGCCAGGCTGGTCGGTCGAGTTGACATTAAAGAGTGACGGTTAACATTGACAAATCGGAGTATTGTTAACATCAGTAATGAAAAGATTTGAGTGGATTTTAGCAACACAGTGGGGTCAATATCTGCAATTGGCATTGGTCATGTTCTGTTTTTCTGGAAAGTAGTTCAAAGGTTAAGACATTGACAGTCGCTTACAAGTGCAAATGTACGTCTTGTTTTGTGTTTTTACAAGGGCTTAAGCCTGGTCAGTGTGTCGAGAAGCTGCTTCAAATCGGATTATTTTGTTTGTTCATTGCTGTAAAAATTTAAATTGCATTCAGATAGTCTCAAGTTAGTGATTTGTGTGCTTAATCGAGAATGCTTCCCCACCAGTTCATATTTGTTAGCAGATGCCTGTGCAAAAAATGAATGCCAAATGCAAGCATTTTGTAAGCCAGGTTGCACAAGAGATTACACATTCAGTTCACGAAATAACTAAGCTGAACTATTATTTTCATTTTGTTGTTGCAAAATACGCATTGTACTGTATGTAAGCATGCAATCCGTACAATATATTAAACAATACTGTGCAACTCACCTGCTTCAGTGTATCCGTGCGTGTTGCCACAGGTTTGCCCTTTCTAATTGTGATTACTGAATATTTTCTTTGTTCAGTTTAACACATAGGTTTTCGCGACCAATATCATCCATAATAGAGGTTTTCTTGTTGTGGCTTTGCTCTGCAACACACCGGTGTACTGTACTAGTGACGAATTGGCATGTTCTGTTTACGTGACAACCCTTACTAGTTGGCTGTGTCAGGTGGTGGCGGGTTTTAACGACACATTTATATATTTATGCGATCTAACCCAAAAAACCTCTTATGGATTTTCTTTGTTGTTGGTAAACTGGAGTAGGCAAATGTCTAGTCGCCCCAACCATAGTGAGAAGTATACTGCATGTGGTGTGCCAGGTGCAGAAATATTTCCTGGTTCTATGCCCCGGATCGACCCAGCTACAGTTATCACACCACAGTTAGTCATTGGCGGGTCGCATGTGGTGGGGTAAAGTGTGGACACTCCCACCTCCTCCGAGATGTTTGGCTAGCATGAAAAAGCGGGCCAGATACCTTCCGGAGGGGCTTTCTCACTCCCTTTAGTGGAGACATCTGCGAGGAGTGACGTGAGGCTGAAGTTACAGGTCTGTAGTAGCTTTCCCTGTTCTATCACTGTGGATTGCAGACAAGGTGCCCTTGTTGCGACTCCGTAAACCCAAGCTGTGCCTCGCAAAGACTCTGGGCCACTTGAGCGCGGTTTTACTGCGCACGCTTTGGCTGCAGAGTGAGTGACGCTGGGCGCCATGAGCCGGCTGGACATGCTCTACCGCCGCCTACTTCTCACCAAGCTCTTCACGCATGGCTGGGGCCGGCCCGAGGACCTCAAAAGGTGAGCGTGACTGCCCCTCTTCGCAATTCCTCCCTTCCAGATCTTTGTCCTGTCTTCTCTGTGCACGGCCTCGGCGATTGAAACCGGACCGATGCAGCACCGATCGCTTCATTTTCACCGAATAGGCCGCTTGTTTCTGGTCGATGCGGATTTA